CACCTAGGTATCTTAATAACAGATGAGTGGTTAAACAGTGGTATGTCCATACCATGGAATACTACTGAGCAATGGAAAGAAATGAACTATCATTGTACCCAAGTTGGATTCTAAAGGGCATTATGCTGAATGAAAAAAAGTCAATCTCAAAAGATCATCTATGATATATTTCCATATATATATATTATATATCTCTAAATGACAGAATTATGGAGATAGAACCAGATTAGTGGTTGCTAGGGGTAACAGATGGTGTTGGGAGTAGATGTGATCGAAAAGGGTAGCATGAGGGAGATCTTTGTGATGATGGAATAGTGCTGTATCTTAATTGCAGTGGTGTTTATAGGAATCTTCACATGTGATAAAGTGACATAGAACCATACACATTTATTCTACACATGTCAGTTTTTGGTTTTGATATTGTGGGGAATTATGTAAGATATGACCAATGGGAAAACGTGGGTAAAAGTTATACTGAATTTTAATGACCACATACTGAAACCATAATATATTTGAGACTTACCTTACCTGCCTCTAGAGGAGAGTCTTAAATTTGGTTAAGAGGTTTTGAATAGAAACAGACAACTACACCTATCTTAGATCCTTTCTAAGTCCAAGATTCAATAATATGTTTCTAGGCAGGATGAAGAAGAGAGTGCCCATATTATAGCTCTGTGAGAAAATGGAATTCAACTAAATGATGCTTTGGAAAGCTCAAGTCAAGGAAATACAATATAGAATACAAAAAATGCACTTTGATTTATTCAGCAAACACTTTTCAGTTACCTACTAAATATTCAGTCATGGAATTGAAGATGTAAAGATGAAGAAACATGATACTTGTTCTTTTAAAATGTTTTAATGTTTATTTTATTTTTAAGAGAGACAGAGTGTGAGCAGGGGAGGGGTAGAGAGAGGGAGACAGAATCTGAAGCAGGCTCCAGGCTCTGAGCTGTCAGCACAGAGCCCGACGCAGGGCTCGAACTCACAAACTATGAGATCATGACCTGAGCCGAAGTCGGATGCTTAACCGACTGAGCCACCTAGGCGCCCCTGAAACTTGTTCTTTAAACTAGAGTGTGAGCTCCATGAGAACATAGATTTTTATTTGCTTTATTCATGTAATCATCGGTAATGTTTAGGCCAGGATCTGGCACACAATAGGTGCTAAGTAAAAATTGCTGAATCAATGGATTATCCTAAAAAGCTTAGAGTCTGATAGACAAGCCAAGATAGGTAAGAAAATAAATAGGGACAACATGTGATAGATGCTATCACAGACTTTCCCCCTTTTTCTCCTTTCAAAAAACCCTTTGTTCAGTCTTAAGTAATGCAATCACTGTGTGGGTATTCTGCTAGCACTGGAGTTAGGTATGTGCAAAATTAAACTTCAGGGCTGGCTTCCAGACCCCATTTCTACTGGTTCTGTCAGAGTCTTACCCTCAGGCGGGGATAGTGTTCCAGCTGAGTCACTGTGATACCTTCAAGAGTTGGGTTTGTTCCAGTCCTCACAGCACTGTTCTTTTACACACGGTATTGCTATACAGTTAACCCTTGAAGAACAAGGGGCTAAGAGGTGCCCCGCCCCTGCAGTTGAAAATCCTAGAACTTTTGACTCCACCAAAACTTAACTATTAATAGCCTACTGTTGACAGAAGCCTTACCTATAACATACACAGTCATTTAACACAAATTTTGTTATGTTGATTGTATTATATGCTGTATTATTACAATAAAGTAAGCTGGAGAAAAGAAAATGTTAAAATCATAAGATAAAGTACACTTACAGTACTGTATGTATATTTAAAACATCTTCCATAAATGGGCTGGCAGGGGCTGGGACAGAGGGTGGCAGCAGTGAGCCTGGCCCTGGGGTGACACTTTTCCTTAGCTTGGTGGTCTCTGCTCAGCATTGGCAGCGGCTGGGCAGCCCACAGGCACTGGGAGTGTCCTGGAGGTGCCGTATAGCTGCCCCAGCTGCCTGGAGTATATGGCTGGCTATAGCTAGCAGCAGCTGTGGCCTCTGGGAGGCTGCCAGGATGCATCAGTGCTGGGCCAGGAGGGACCAGCGGCAGCTCCAGTGCAGCCCAGAGCCTTCTGGGCATGTTCTTCCGCTCCAGCCCAGTTCCTCCTGCCTGCCAGCCCTGGGTGTTCCACTGGACCACCCTGTTGGCACATGGGGTGACCTGCAGCCCTATCTGGTATCAGGGGTCTGGGGCTGCAGATGGCCTCTGTGGGCGTCCCTGCCTGGGTTCTCAGAGGGCAGCAGGCGCAACTTCTGTGCCAGTCACTTCGATTCTTCTGTGGAGACTAGGGTGGGCAGTTGTCAATAAATGCTATGTGGCTTTTGCTGTCCACTCTTAAAAACCCACCTAAAAATGGATCTGTGCAGTTCAAACCCATGTTGTTCAAGGGTCATCTGTATTTTAAAGTAGGGATCTGGGTTAGTGAGGATGGGTAAATGAGGCAGTATAGAATACTTGTAAATTTAAGACTTGTTTAAGAATGGAAGGAGAATTTTGAGGGAGGACTCTCAGCGGGACCACCTCACACCCTGGGCCCAGCTGTCGTGAATCATCACTTGGGCTAGAACTTCACTTGCTTATAGCGGTCCTCTGTTGTTGAATCTTCTTGGGACATCCAGGACTGACACAAGCAGCTGTCTGAAAACTTACCCAGGGTCGTTGGGCAGTAGAGGGTCAGACCAAGCCTTTATTAAGGAGTATAGAGCACTCACTTCTTTGCTGCAGAGTAGAGGGATTAAAGAGGTGATTATTTCCATTATCTGGGGCGTGTTCCTTTAGCTTCTTTTAGGTGGTAAGAAACAAATTGGCTTATTTCACTCTAGAGGCTTATTGTAAAGAATGTGTCTCAGTTGGCCTTCATGAAAATTTTGACATTGTTGCAGACACTAGAGTAACTTCAGTGGTACCTCTTTGTCTTCCAGTTCATTTGTTACCAACTGTAGTGTTTCCACCATTTTGATAGCTAATCTTTCACTCTACTTCCACTCAGTTTCTTGGGTGACTGTGCACTAATTCATTCTTAATTTTTCTCAGCAGGAAAGGGTCAAGTTGGGTTGTCCAATTATTTATTATCCAGTTGGACAAAGCTCTTGTGAGTTACCTCAAAGGCTTCTTAGATGGCCTCTCGGTTGGAAGCTGATTACTTGTCATAGTTCTTTGTAACCAGAGTCTTATTTTCTCATCATCTAAACTATGGTGATCATACTGAAAGAACTGTCTATGGTCATTTCCTTAGAAGGAACATGTGTGTCCTTGGTAGATATTCAGAGCATCATTTATTACTCTTTATCAGTGGGTCACTGGGAGCTTTCAGACCAAAGGAGATGTAGAAATTGCTGCAGATACACAGGGTGTATTTCTGGTTTCCAAAAGGAATAGCCTATGGCTAACCAAAACAAAATCAAATTATCTTTACTTGTCCTGGTTCAACAACCTTTTATAGAAATCATTGTTTTAGATACTAATAGCAACTCAGGTGTACATATTATATTTATACCTTTTAGTTTTTTTTAATGGATTTTGCTATAACTAATGAAGTCTTACTAAATAAGAAAGGATCAAATGTATACTTGGAACTATGCATGAAACTGAACCATTAAATATGATTAAAAATGGGAAAAGAATAGATTATTGTGACCTTCATCCCACCTAATGATTCAAGGTGTTAGAAAAAAAGCAGCTTAGAGTACACATCTTTGCACATTTTCTTTATCTGGGATAGTAAGTAAGCTAAGAACTAGAGACCTTAATGAGGATTTTTTTTTAAAGATTTTATTTTTAAGCAATCTTTACACTCAACATGGGGTTTTGAACTTACAACCCCAAGATCAAGAGTTGCATGTTCCACCGACTGAGCCAGGTAGGCACTCCATTAATGAGGGTTTTATATATGAAGGCCTTCTTTGGGGAATGCATATTTTTCTAGAGGCCAGGTAGCTGAAGAATGACATTTTGTGAGTAGTCAGTCTACTACTTGATCTTCTCCAAGAAAATTAGTAAGACATTTTGAGACCACAATAAACTAGTTTTTAAAAAAAAAATTTTTTTTAACGTTTATTTATTTTTGAGACAGAGACAGAGCATGAATGGGGGAAGGACAGAGAGAGAGGGAGACACAGAATTGGAAGCAGGCTCCAGGCTCTGAGCCATCAGCCCAGAGCCCGACGCGGGGCTCGAACTCACGGACCGCGAGATCATGACCTGAGCTGAAGTCGGACGCTTAACCGACTGAGCCACCCAGGCGCCCCACAATAAACTAGTTTTAATGTTTGTTGAAACATATGGAGAGTCAAAGCTAGTTTGAAAGGGATTACCACGCAGTTGGTATATCCTGATTTCATCAGTGGCTTCATTCAACTTAGCTTCATGAAAATTACTTTATTATTTTTCTCATTTTACTAAAAACTAGTGAAAACTTTTTAATGGATGGGAATCACTGGGTTGCATGGTTAATATTGCGTGGTGGTCTCTTAGCTGGTTGTGCCATACCAGAGAGTGTTGTGCCATCCTGAAGGGGAGAGCACCTGGCCGTGAGTCTGTGCCATATCAAATCCACCAAGAGTGCTATTGCCGGGTAGGAAGCCTTAGAGGGGAGGAGAGTTGCAGGAGGCAGGAGTGACAAGAAGACCCGGGTGGGTCTGGATGAAGGATGTTGACAGGATTAATAATGACTCTGAGCAAAAAGAAAATTCTTAAAGGAAGAGTCTTTAAAGCCCAGGGCCATTTTGTTCTGGAACTAAGAAAGAAAATGAATTCTTAGGACTCTTCTCTCAGTTCATTCCAGTGAGGTCAGACTGAGAAAGAAAGCATCTTGCTCTATCTAAGAGATTTTGTTTTGGAATATAATATTTTTCTATCCTCTGTGGTAAGTGATTGTAGCCTATTTAGAAGGGAAAAATCTGAGCTCAGTTGGAGAGTTCTCTGCTATTTTAGAGTTATGTCGTCTCTGATTTTACTTTATTTTTTTTCCTTCAGGTTGCTTGATTGGGGCTGTGAATCTCAAATCCAGCAACCGAACCCCAGTGGTACAAGAATTTGAAAGTAAGTACAAGGGAGAGACCACTAGGAGAATAGGCGCCATCTAACGGACACTTGGTAGTCTTACAGCCAACTGAGGACAAACACACACACTGTAGTGCCAGAGATGTTCAGGTGGGTGGCCCCTTGGCAGTGCATCTGGTGTACAGGTGGGTCAGTGCAACACTGCTTCAGCAGGCCAACAGGGAACTCTGCAGCTTTTACATGGGCTAAAATCCGATTTCTGCTCTGGCTTTATACGTATACAACAAAGAATTTTCATATATATAAGCAGAGTATTAAGGGGGAATGTGTATTCTATTTAGTAAAAGTCCTTGCTAATCATATGTATTATTTTTCTGGCTAAAATTTATCTTTTGTTAAGGTCACTTGGAGCCTGGAGATAGGTAGATTTGTAACCTGCATGAAAGACGTCTCTAAAATTTGCGATAACTTGCAGGTTCTGGGTACATAAGTGATTGTAAAATTGTTTCACATCCTCTGAGAGTTCTTTTCTTCTTCTTCTTCTTCTGCTCATTAGGTGTGGAACTCTCTTGTATCATTACGGATTCACAGACAAATGACCCCAGGATTGAATGGAAGAAAATTCAAGATGACCGAACTGCATATGTGTTTTTTGACAACAGAATCCAGGGTATGACCCTCTAATCCCTTCCTTTGTCCACAAGGTCCAGGCATGTACTTGTGGCCAGAGACTTTCCTCTGACTGGTCCTGCATCTGTAGCAAGGATTGGTTTCTTGTTTTGTTTGTTTCACTTATAGAAAACTCAAACGTAGAAAAGTAATGAGAACAGTGTATTGAACCTCCCCATCCCTGTCATCCAGCTTTAACAAGTATCACCTCTTTAGTGAGGATTTAAATCTGTCTGCCCATCCTGTTGGAGTATCAGAGTGAACATTTTGTTAGGCCATCCTCTTATCACAGTCCATGACATTTGTGATACAAGCTGCATGAGTTAATCAGAAAGATCACGTGGAGCAGCAGGGAGACACATATATACTGAGCACCTACTATGTGCCACACTTCCCATGTTGAGAAAGTGTTTGCTAGAACAGAGGTCAGCATAGGGAGTTCTCGGGTTGCATGAGGTAGGGGCAGGGTGGGTGGTGGGGAGGCTTCCCAGAAGTGACATCTAGACAAGGTGATGAAGCTGGGTAACCAGTGAGGGGCTGGTGAAGAGGGGTGGATAAAGGTGTTGGGCAAGAAAGAGTGTTGTATATAAAGATGTGGAAGCAAAAACCAGCTTGGTTCAGGGAAACTGCAAGTTCTCCACCATAGCTGGGACTTAGGGAGGTGAGAGAGGAGGGATTCTCCACAGCTGGGAAGGCATGCCAGGGCCAGGCAAGAATGAGGGTCCATAAAGATTTTTAGGAGGAAAGTGTCATGATTTCATTTACACTTCAGGAAGACTGACTTGCCTGCCTTGTAGAGAAGAGATTGGAGAGGGAAACTCAGAGCAGAAGTGCTAATTCTGAATTTTTTTGCAGATTGCAGAAGGGAGTTGCTAATGGCCTGAGCTAAGGTCAAGGCAGTGTAGAGAGAGATGAGGAGGGGTTGCTAAGGGCTGGCTGTGGCAAGGGAGGGAGAAGGAGGAATTACAGATGAATACCATGGGACCGTCCCTTCACTGTGACAGGAGGGACATGGTAGACATGAGGGACAAATGCAGCTACTTCTAAAGGCTGGCTTCAGAGTTGTCAGAGAACCTGCTAGTTGAGGCTTCAGAGGAGAATGGAGATTTTGTGGAAACAGCCTAATCTCGGTCTTCCTGCTTTGGGTCCCCAATATCATCAGGAGTGATAGGCTTTTAAATACCACTTTTTTCCCTCACCAGTGTCTCCCCCACCTCTTAATTTTGAAGAGATGGAAATATTTTTCCCAGAAAACAAGTCCATTTTCTCTGGCAACTTAGGCTGCTGCTGATAAACCCTGTACACACACTTGTGATCATCAGAAAAACCAAGTAGGAATTTTCTTAAAGCACTTCTGTGTCTGGGAATTAAACACTCTTAGCCAGAGGGAGGGGGAAGGTATTTACACACAAAATATGAAGGCTGGAGGAAAACTTGAATCTGCTTGGTCTCTCCTCTTGCCTCAGTTCAGGTCTGTGCTAAAAACATCCTGATAGATCTTTAAAAATTTTATTGAAGTATGGGTGAAATACAGTGTTGTATTAGGTTCAAGTATACAGCCTAGTGATTAGACAAATCTGTACCTGACTCAGGCTCACTGCAAAAAGTGTAGTCACTGTACATGATTACAATATCACTGATGGTGTTCCCTATGTTGTACTTTTTATCTCTGTGACTTACTTATTTTATAACTGGAATTTTGTGCCTCTTAATTCCCTTCACCTCACCCTCCTCCCCTCCAGCAACCACCAATTTGTTCTCTGTATTTATTAATCTGTTTGTTTTTTTTTCTATTGTTTTGTTTTTTAGATTCCACATGTAAGTGAAATCGTATGGTACTTGTCTTTCTCTGTCTGACCTCACTTCACTTAGCATAATACCCTGTAGGCCCATCCATGTTGTCACAAATGGCAAAATCTCATTCTTTTTTATGGTTGAATAATATTCTCAATAATACACACACACACACACCCATATCTTTGATAGATTTTTATTTACTAATTTCTTAAATTGTTGAAATTCTAATCCTCTACTGAGGGCTGCTGAATAACAAACCTTCCTATTAGAAAATACCTTTGGAATGTTCATCCTTTGCAATAAGCATTTTGCTGTTTTTATTATATTATGGTAAATCCTTCCTGTTCTTGCCACCATTCAGCAGGTTTAGTAATAATTAGTTTCTATGTTTGTGTCATTTTCCTCCTAATTCCTTCCCTTATTTGTCATTCTTTAGGTTCTTCATGCTTCTTTGAAAGAGTTACCATCTTTTTGTGCTTTAAATGTTTTAAAAATTAAGATACAATTTGTATGGTATAAAACTCATACTTTTAAAGTGTATACTTCAGTAGTTGTTAGTATATTCAACAAAGATATATATCTCTCACCACCATCAAATTCCAGAACACCTTCACCAGCCTCCAGAGAAACTACATGTTTATTAGCAGTTACTCCCCTCCCCTTAATCCCCTCCTCCTGGCAGCCAGTAATCTCCTTTGTCTCTGTGGATTTGCCTGTTGTGGACACTTCATAGAAATGGAGGCATACAGTGTGTGGTCCTTTGTGACTTCTTTGACTTAGCATATTGTTTTCAAGGTTCATCCACATTGTAGCATGTGTCACTACTGCATTCCTTTTTATATGGAAGAATATTCCATTGTAAGTAGGCTAATTTTTAAAATCCATTTATCAATTGATGTACATTTGGGTTGTTTCCAATTTTGGGCTATTATCAATAATGCTGCTGTGGGTATTCATGTAGACATAATGGTTTTTGTGTAAATACAAGTTTTCATTTGGGGAAGATACATGACCAGAAGTATAATTGCTAGGTAATATGGTAGTAGCATGTATAGTTGTTGTCGTTGTTGTTTTTAAGAACTTGCCAAACTCTATTCCAAAGTGGCTACACCATTTTACATCCCTTTAGCAGTCTATTTCCCCACATCCTCACTAACACTTGTAATTGTTCATCTTTTCAGTTCTGCCCTATGTGGGCGTGAAGTGGTATCTCATTGTGGTTTTGATTTGCATTTCCCTGGTGACTAATGATTTCGAGCATCTTTTCATGTTCTTAGTGGACATTTGTATATTTTCTTTGGAGAAATGTCTACTCAAATCCTTCGTCCATTTTTAACTAGGTTATTTGTCTAATTATTTTTGAGTTGCAAATTCTTTATATATTCTGGATACTAGCCCTTTGTCAGATTCATGATTTGTAAATACTTCCTCCAATTCAGTGGATTGTCTTTTCAAAATTTGCATGTGTCCTTTGAAGCACAAAAGTGTTTAAATTTTTTATGAAAGTCCAATGAAGGCCAATGTAACTTTTTTTATCCTTATGGTTTTGGTACCATTTCTAAGAAATCATTGCTTAATCCCAGGTCATGATGATTTATGTCGATGTTTTTTTCCTAAGAGTCATACTGTTAACTCTTACAGAAAGGTCTTTGTTGTGTATGGTATGAGTAGGGGTCCAATCTCATTCTCTGGCATGTGGATATCCAGTTATCCCACCACCATTTATGAATACTGGTTGTTTTTTAATGTTGTTTGTTTGATTTTTTTTCTCTTTAAATGGGGAATCCTGGCTGGGAATGATGAAGAGGAAATGAGGTCCCTGCTTTAACAACAAAGACACATGTAATGAGTCCTCTTACACACCAGGTACTATTTTGCTGCTCAGTGTCCTCAGTTCATCTCTGTTGTAGAGGAGCAGAAACAAAATCCAGTCTGAAATCTCCTAATTGAGGCATTAAATGCTGGCTCCAGAAGCCACCTTCTTTAAGTGGCAAAGATGTTCTTACTTTTTATTTTTATTTTTTAAAGTTTTTATCTTTTTATTTATATTGAAAGAGAGATCGAGAGCAAGTGGGGGAGGGGTGGAGAGAGAGGGAGAGAGAGAATCCAAGCAGGCTCCACACTGTCAGCACAGAGCCGGACATGGGGCTTGAACTCCCAACCATGAGATCCTGACCTGAGCCAAAATCAAGAGTCAGATGCTTAACTGACTGAGCCACCCAGGCTACCCCCAAAATGTTTTTAAACAGTATTTTTGTGTTCTGTTTCCTCTTTTCTATAGGAGATTTGGCAGGTCGTGCAGAATTATTGGGTAAAACATCTTTAAGGATCTGGAATGTGACCCGGACAGACTCAGCCCTTTATCGCTGTGAAGTGGTTGCTCGAAATGACCGCAAAGAAATTGATGAGATTGTCATTGAGTTAACTGTGCAAGGTAGTAACTCACATGAAGTTAAAACATGTTCTCCCTTTCAGGCCTCATGAGTCTGTCTATTAAAAAAAAAAAAAAAGGATTGGGGAAGGGGAAAAAAGAATAAAGATCAGCTCTTTCTTTCTTTCTTTCTAGAGCTACATCCCAGGGGGTATTGCAGGACTTGCAGAGCTTGGACTGAGTCGGGGTGGAAGGTGAGAAGGGAAGTGGAACTCCTGCCACTCCCCTCCACCAGCTGTAGGAGGTGCTCCTCAGGGAGATGGAGGCATTAGAAATGCGTTGTGGGACTATATGTGGGGGGTGAGCTGTGAGGCAGATGCAGTGGCAGATCAGAGCCTGCAGGCAGGATGTGGGGATGGCAGTGGTGCAGGAATCCCCTGGCTGGTTTTCCTGGTTTTGGAGATTTATTGTGGGCTTTGATAAGAAGCCATGTTGTTGATTTTAAACCCCAACCTGTGTTTCTCCCACAGTGAAGCCGGTACCTCCTGTGTGCAGAGTACCAAAGGCTGTACCCGTGGGCAAGACAGCCACGCTGCAGTGCCAGGAGAGTGAGGGCTTCCCCCGGCCTCACTACAGCTGGTATCGAAATGACGTGCCGCTGCCCACAGATTCCAGAGCCAATCCCAGATTTCGAAACTCCTCTTTTCTCTTAAACTCTGAAACAGGCACTCTGGTAAGATCTCTTCTCAGAGGTGAGGATAGAAACATCTTTATTGGGGAAGGGATTCCTATTGTGGAAAGAGCACTTATTGAGAGAGACAATGAACTTTATAACACAGGAGCTAAAAACCCATAATGTTGGAGATTCTGTGGGAAAAATGAACCTCCCCTTCTTTCTATAAACAGGTTCTAAGGGGATAAAATAAAGGGAAACCTGGAGAATAAAGTGTGATTATGTGATTATGAAGGGATAGTAAACAAATGTAATGGGTGGATGATGTTAGGGTCCTGATATGAATAACCAATTATAAAAATCATGAGACAATCAGGGAAATTGGATTACTGGCTGGATATTTGATTAAGGAATTGTTAGTTGCTTTAGGTACCATAATGGTATTGTTACAATGTTAAGAAGCTCTTTTAGAGATGCATACTGAAGTATTTATGGATAAAATGTGTCTAGAATTTTCTTCAAAATGACCTAGTGGTGGTGGTGGGAAGTGGGTGGGGGGAGAGACGAAGTAAGATTGGTCATGTGCAGAAGACAGAATTGCCCTCAGCAGCATCTCACCGAGCTTTTACCACAGCTACATCTCCTGGTGGTGTATCTAACGTAGCCACAAGCAGGTTATACTAGGATCCTCTGTATTTGTATTGCCCAAGTGTTGCCTTAGAAACAATCATTATCAGAGAGTCCCTTTCCGTGAATAAAAGTAAAGCTCACATTGCATTCTGAATGTTATTAGGCTTTGATGTCTCCAGAAACCTAATGGGATCTCATTGTTCAGGAGCTCTTGGGCAAGACTTGGGAAAAAATTATCGGGGAAGAACCTGGACACTGACCAGGAAACCAAAAGAAAACTAAGAGCAAATAGACATTTTACTATGTTCTGAACTTAGCAGCTTGGTGGGGGATAAGCATGGCAGTATCTTCTCTTCTGTCCCCAGAGGTGCACCCTGTTGATTAGTCTCGTGGTTTACTTGTGATTTCCGGAAACAGGTTTTCAGTGCTGTTCACAAGGAAGACTCTGGGCAGTATTACTGCATTGCTTCTAATGATGCAGGCTCAGCCAGGTGTGAGGAGCAGATGATGGAAGTCTGTGAGTTATTTTTTGAAAATATTTCATCTGAAGACTGGCAAGTGGATAGAACATTTTTAATTTAATATTAGACCATCAGTTTAGACAACTATTGTGCCATAGGTCAGCTTTCTTCTGGAGATGACTGGATTCACCAAAACCCATTAGGGGACATTGAAAGGAAAGATGAGAGAGTTCTGAGTAACAGCTAAATGACTAAGAAGTGGGTACTTACAATATGTTTATCTCCTCAAAATAGACCTTCAGGAGTCTTCTGGTGTTGGGAATGTAGCTAATCATGTCACTTTTCAAATAAACTCCATTTCTTTGGTTATTGATAGGATTATCAAAACATAACATTGTGTAAGGTCTCCAGCAATTTATCCAGTTATAACCATTTTGTTATAAGCTGAAACCCAGAGTTTTAGCCCCAGTAACTTTACCCTATTCTGTGATGATGCTGTCTCTAGGGTACTGGTTCTGAAGGGGTGGTGTTGGGGGCAGGATGGGGCACACCTCCTTCCTTCCTGGGTATAACTGATCCCAGAGCAGTGTTTTCCAGACTTGCCTGATCATGAGAATCATTTGAGTGCACTTGCACATACAGATTCCAAGGCCTCACCCCAGGCGTATGGACTCAGTCCCCAGGGGAGTGTTGGTGGAAATGTCTGTGTGTAAAACATTCCAGGTGATTCTTGTCATCTGTCAAATTTGGGAAACTGCTCCAGGGCAGGAGGAAGATTCCTGGGCTTTGCCCCAAACCTATTGCATCTCTAGTGATAGAGGTTGGGAATTGGATATTTTAAAGTCAGAATTTCAATTTTTAAATGCACACTCACATTTGAAATCACTGCACTGAGATAAAGGAGAATTTTAACAACTTCCAAGTTGTTTTCCATTATGTTTTCCATTGCATTTTTATTTGCATGAAGGAAACACCCCCAGTGCCCCAGCTGACAGGGACTATCTTTGCCCCGTATATAGAAATGGGAAGAGGAGGGGATCAAGGGGTTTCCTCTAAGAGGGCTTATAGATATGAGGCCAGGCAGCTGCTGGTGAAAGGTCACATTCCTGCCTCATATTTTTATCTTTAAGTACTGTGTGAAACTAGTTTTCTTCCCCCAAATAATCCACAGCAAAGGGAATCCCTGGAAATTAGGAACTTTTTCTTCTTTGAGATTCCTGGCACCTTATTCTGTCTTTATAGTGAAACCATTTCCTCCATTAATAATATTTTCAGGGATTTAACCAGAGGATTTTTTTTTAATTTTTAAAAAATTTTTTACATTTATTTATTTTTTAGAGACACAAGCAGGAGGGGCAGAGAGAGAGGGAGACACACAAAGCAGGCTCCAGGCTCTGAGCTGTCAGCACAGAGCCCGATGCGGGGCTTGAACCCACAAACCATGAGATCATGACCTGAGCCAAAGTCGGACGCTTAACCGACTGAACCACCCAGGCACCCCAAGGATTTTAAAGCCTTTTATACAACGCTAAGCCCCTTTTAATAGAGGATTAAGTATAATAGCATTTCAACTGTGGAGGTCTCAGTAGTTTTACAAGTGAGATCAGGAGTATGGGGTCCTATTTGTTAATGGACTAGAAAGAGTTTTAAGTGCTCTCACTCTGCTGGCTGGGGTAGGCATGAGGGGGCAGGGCGGCAATGTGGAAGGATAAAGGAGGGAGGCACAGTGGGGTCAGGGGCTTTTATAAGACCAGATAGTGTGTATTCTCTCTTCCCTCCATCCATCTTTCTCCAGATGACCTGAACATTGGTGGCATTATTGGGGGGATCCTGGTGGTGCTTGCTGTACTGGCCCTGATAACGGTAGGCATCTGCTGTGCATACAGACGGGGTTACTTCATCAATAATAAGCAGAATGGTGAAAGGTGAGCCTGTCTTCTGTCTTAAGTGACAAAACCAAAGTTTAAGTTGGCATCCTATGAAAAATCAGTAGTCACTGAAGTCCTCTCTCTCGTATTTCAGTTACAAGAGTCCGGGGAAGTCAGATGGAGTTAACTATGTCAGGACAGAGGAAGAGGTAAGGAAAGGAGTTTCAGAACCTAGAAAGGGGGGTCTTCAAGCAGGAAAATGACATTCCTTCTTGGAAACTCTCCCGATATAATATTTTATACACTCTGGCATCATAGTTCTCAGGCTCTAGTAGATGTTACTTTTGAAGAATGGTTTCATTTGATTTGTTTTGCCTTAAGTTTCTTCTTCAGGAAAACCGTGATTAGACCTGACTTCCTCTGTTCCTCTTCCTGTCCTCCTCGGGCCCCTTGGTTGGTAGAGGATAGCCGTGTCTAACCCTGTGCTGGCCTTGCAGGGCGACTTCAGACACAAGTCATCATTTGTGATCTGAGATCTGACGGTGTGGCTGAGGGAGCACACGCAAATACCTCCACCAGAAACTCCTATCAAGAACAGCCCGGGGCCAAGTGCACTTGGACAGAGCTACACACTTGCGCAAAAGCTTTTTGTTTGGCCAAAGTTGACTGCTACTTCTTTCTTACTTTTTAACAAGCCACATAAATAAAAGAAGTTCCCTCCAGCTGGGCCCAGTCATCATAAGGAAAAAAATTATATTTCACTGAGGCTGATTCCCAGTCTATTTCTGGCCTTGTTCCCACCTGAGTGTTAGGGTCACTGTGAGGCTCTTGCTCACAGAAGCTGGGCTGGGCCTCTGAAGGCAGTGTGTTTGCCACTCACTGACATCAGCTAGGGTGAGCCCCATGAGAGGGGCCACAGGGCAGCCACATAGCACCAGTACTGCAGGACTTGAGAGCATGACCCACCGTGAAACCTTGCAGCTGGAGTTTGAACCAGTCAGTCCAGAAAAGTGGCATTTTATGCAATGACCTTGTTTCATAGTGGCCCACAGTCAGCACTGTACTCATTGTTCTTAAAGGTTCTATTGATCAGTATTTTAGTGTCCTTCATGGAAAATCTCTTTGGAATTTTATTAAAACAACTCAGATCAGGAAGATATATTGTTTGTTGGAAGAAGGGATCTTCTCACCTGTAGGAACCCTGCTTGTCCTTTGGGGGGTGGGGTGGATGTGTGGGATGTTCAGTATTTAAAGAAAACCTTAATTTTAGGTGAAATCTGAAATGGTACTAAAATCATGTTCTGCTTTTCTATGGGTATTTTATAAAATTTTACATTCTAAATTTTTGCTAAAGATGTATTTTGGTTATTGAAAAGAAAATTTCTATTTAAACTGTAAATATGTTGTCAGTACAGTGTTAAATAACCTATTTTTTTTAAAAATTTCAACTTAAGGTAGGAGTTCCAAACTACTAGTGTTAAATTGGAAGATATCAATGATTAAAGAGTATTTTGACCCAAGAAATCCTCTCAAGGAGGCTTATTGGAACATTCCTTTTTTCCACATAAGTATCAGCATTTTTCACAAGAGAACTTACGTTGGCTATACATCAGATCATTGTTACTTAGGAAACCTTAAAAAAAAAATTCCAGTTGAATAATGTTAGTATCTGTTTGCATCTCTCCTAAAGACATAAGGAGCTCTAAGGTTAGCTTTGAATGGCCTCTTCACTCAAACTACCTGTGCCCAAAGACCACCCAGAACTGCTTAGACATACATGTGAAATGTCAGCCAATCCCTGGACTTGAGTCTTGTGCCCCACTCTAAATACTGGCTACTAACATGAAGGCTGGCCAGCATGCGCACTGCCATCTTTAATGCTCAGACAGTGGCTCTATGTTAGCTTTATGTGTTGGACAGTTCTAAGGTGTACACTTCAGGAAGGGTAGGTGTCCTCCATGTGGCATCCCAACCTTTGGGTCCCCTGTGACAGAGCTCTTTTTGGTTGTGGATGGCTCATGAAACAAAGCAGCGGCTGCTGTTTGGTTTTAAAATTCATTTTACTTATTTGTGTAGTTCCTAAGACTGTCCAGGGCCAAAGGCAGTTCTGAAATCAACTACAATAATGTTTTTTAAGAAAATGAATTCCACTATTCCCTTTGCCATGAAGAAAGCACAGACACCGCAGGTTGCGTCTTGCTTCACAATAAACCATTATGTGGCGGCAGAGAGGCCAGCCTTTTGAAGCCAGTTGGGTAGTGCAGCCAGAGCAGAAAGCCTGATGGTGAGAAAAGTGAAATGCCTGAATCAAGGCCATTTTCTGATTTTGATTTTAAAGTCTTTTTCTACCCAAGACACTGCAGCTCACTGTGTGTGGGACATTAGAAACATCGTTATAAAGCCTTTGTTCTTCAAGAGCAGATGTTCTTTGCCTCAGATATGTTGCTGTGTTAAACTCACAATGTGAAGAGGTTTGAAGAAGGAGCTGCTCAGAGGAGCACCCCCCAGTTCCACTGTGTCCTTAAAGGATGGTTTTTGGGTGGAAGGATGTAGTCATCTTGGTATTAAACTTCAGTGTCTTAATTTTTTCTACTTTGGGTTTTTTTTTTTTTTTTTAATTGAATACTTGAGACTTATGTTGACTTTTCTTTTTTAAGTTATGTGAATACTTTACCATGGGATATTTGGCAGAAGCGGTGGGCAACTCTTCATAATTGCTTAATGGTACCCATCTTCTTTTGCATTTGGGTCTTGAATGCTTAGACTTAAGACTGTCCCTTCATCTTCACCCCTATTTGGTGGAAAGGGATAGTGTCCCCGTTCTCTGGGAAGCAACACTTTGACTGCCATCTTGGTTGTCATAGTGATAGGGCAGCCTTATCACCTCCCTTCTTATGACCCTAAAACCTCCTATCCTAGTGCCATGTGAACTGGGTCTGACAGAAGCGAGTATGGAGTCTGGGAAGTAGTTGCCTAACGTAAAAATGTAGGCTGAAAAGGAACATTCATGTGTTTTTAAAATGTGAATGCGGCTGAAAACTCGAAGCCTCTACAAGGCTGTTGTGGCCTTTGGTGTGGCTGTTGCTGTACATAGAGACTTGTACTAACACACCTAGAAGTTGGTATTTGTTAAACCTCATTTATAAAAGCTTAAAAAAAAAAAAAACCCTGCCTCATTATTTCTCTTTCTTATATGCTCTTACCTTGGGTTTACCTCTTTTTCCTAGCATTTTGTTAGGCAAATACATTTAAGATGGTATAGTCCCAGGTTTAAAGAGAGACTGCCATCAAGTACCCTCCACCTGATCTGGAGATAAGTCTTTACTCAACACTGCTCTGTGACTTCCTCTGCCAATGACAACGTCCCTGTGTGTCACTGTTCATATATGGGAGAGCTGAGGGGTAGAGCACAATGACATTCTACCTTTCAGATCCAATTACCACATTTATTTAAAAAAATAGCAACACAGTAACCCTGCACTTTTGCTTCTGTAGTCCTGGGATTAAAAAGTGAACTGACTGAATTTCTTCCCGGTCACTCTTGGACAAAACATGAATGGACATGTTTTAAGGTTACCCAATGGCATCAGAAGAAGACACCAAAGCCACTCCCCCTCGTGGGAGCAGTTTTTGTGGAGCTTAAGACAAGCCAGCATTAGTGCACGCAGGTCAGGACCCAAGGGGGGACTTTCACAAGCAGGCCTACATTCACACACTAAGAAGGATGTGTGCTGTTAGGAGGCAGACAAAGGGACAGGAACTGAACATTACTGACAAAGGCTTTTTTTTTCCCCCCTACAAGGAAAGTTGGGTTTTATTCTTTTTTTTTTTTTTTTAAACAGACATTTATTTCTCACAGTTCTCCAGGCTGGGAGGGTTTTATTATTATTAAACATTTCATGTAAATTAAAATGACTACCAGTAAAAACCCTGTGCTAAAAATAGAAATATTCTTTTGAACATAGAAGGCTGTATTTATGTTTAACCTTTATTATTCCATTTTAGAAAGCTGTACACTTTAAAAACTTCTAATTTATAAATAAGAATAAAAAAATAATTACAGTCAAACTTTCATCATTAGATACAGGAAACTATGTAGGGAATTCCAAACAGATAACAGAGGCCTGATTTATATAATAGAAAACTCATCTGTTAAGTTGTGTTCCTTAAGGACCAGAATACAGTTTACCAGAATGAACTTGATACTTTCAAATGGAGTAAAGTTAGAATATTTTAAATAGCTAAGACATTTCTCTAATATTTTACAACTTTTTTCATATTTCATATATTCATAAAGAGAAATGTAAAAGTTTGGTCAGCCCACACAGGTGAACAGTTACGGGCTGGAATCACAGGAACGTCTCTGGTATCGCACACTAAAAGCTGCCCTCTCCCTGGGGGTGAGGGAAGCAGATTCTGCACAGACAGGACACACCATGTCCTTAGAGCTCTTGCCTCCCAGACACTCCCAAACACAAGGTTTCAGTTGGCTGTTTTCAGTGGGGTCTTTCGGAGTGACCTCCTGCTGGGGGCCGGGTTATCTTTATTTCTGGCTGGGGACTTCACGTTCCACTGCTGAGGCTGCGGGGCCCTAGGGAAAGGAAAGAGACAATTACTCTGGAACTAAAGATAAAACACTGACAAAAACATTTACCTCAAAAGGAACTCTTGGTAAACTTACGGTTTATCAGGAAGTGATAAACATAAAATGTCATTTCCTTGACACTGGGTTTCAATTTTCTCTGAAAGGGAGTCAGACACAAATTCAGATTTCCTACTCAAAAACAGCTAATATATCTGACAAGAAGGGAACTTGCCTTTGATTGAAGAAGGCGTCCGTGGTGTAACTATGTAGCTGACTCCTGCTCCAAATGTGACATCATTGATGGTCCCTGGATAAAGGGGAAAGCAGCACCATTAATGAAAAGCCAGTAGGAAATAGACATACATAAAGTCACCGGAGCAAAGCCCTGGAGCTTCTGCTACAGTCTTACTCTGTCATCTGCATCAGGCCCCAAGTGCTGTCAAATCTAAATCCAGGGGCCATATGAGGCCTCAATTAGACTTTTTGCAGGATGAGACTTCGTCTTCCTGATATTCATCCCATCTGTGGTCCCCTGGCTCTCTCCTTGGACCACTCCCTCCTCAGACAGCTTTGCTGACCCCTGTGTACCTACTGTTCACGGCCTCTGGCTCCTCGCCCACCCCATGTCTCCTGTTACTGCCAACACATCAGTGACCCCCCCCACCCCCGAAACTTCACCCAGCTCTGACCTCCCTCCAGAGTCCTGTGTTTCCTACTCCCACACTACACTCCCTGAAGACGCTTAGCCAACTTGTTACCCCTGCTCCTCAGCACGGTCTTTCTGAATCTCTTTCCTATTGATGGTCTGTCCAAGCTGGGAATGCCAGGTGGGAAAGCTAGTAACGGGTCACGTCCACCTTCCTCCTATCTCCTCTTCCACTCCAACTTAGCACAGTGGTCTCCACCATGGCCTCCCCTTCCTCCAGTTCCCCCCTGGGAGGCAGGGAGCAGAGTGTGGGAACAGACTTGAATCAGACTTGATCGGAATTCTGGCTCTGGGTCTTACTAGCTGTGTGAAATTACTCTAAAAACCTCAAGTTTATCTCCAAAATGGGATACAGATGTACCTGCCTCAGGGTTGTCGGGATGAAATGAGATTATTTATGTTAAGTTCTTAACACAGTACCTGGCACAAGGTCAGTGCTGAAGGAAGGCTAACAATTATGTAATTTATTAGCAGTTATCCCCTATGTCACTAAAGTTTAAAGATCTGGTGAGGTGGCTGCTCTGCTTACGCATCCTGATGGCTCAGTGTTCTAGAGGAGGCCTCAAATCTAGCCTCTGTGTAAGCTGGACATAACCTCTGTGTGAGTTAGCCCCAAGCCACCCTTACCAACCCACTTGCTATATTCCCACACTGTGGGCCACCGTGTCCGATTATCACTGTTCTCTTCCTGGCTCCGGTCTGCACATGAGTCCCTGCTGCCTGGAACTCATCCTGCTGACAATGCCAGTCACTTGAGACCTGGGTGGTGACACCTCTCCCAGGGACTTACTTCCTCCTCTGTCCTGTACCATCACACTTGTCGGGGATACACAGCACAGGCTCAACAGCTGGCTGGCTGTTGACTATCCTGTCAGAGGCTGCGTACCTCCCACAAAACCAATTGCGACATAAGCTTTCTCCCCCCACACTGTAACCTTCTTAGAACACCAATTAGATCTTTCTAGTCTGTTTTAAAGTCCACCAGTACATGTGCAGTGCTATGTGTCTGTGAACTACTTAAGCTATGTTAACTGATAAGAGATCTGTATTTTCATCATGGTGCCACTCAGCGCAGTTGTGCTCATTCCTATTTCTGGGAGGCCTCTTCTCGTGCTGCGGTTCAAACTCCCTTTCCTTACGTGCACATTCTGTTTCCAGTTTGGAAACCTGAGCACATCCAGGCAATAGGCAGCGGTTTGGTGGCCCTCAGATTTCCTGTATACATCGTAAGCGCTTAGAATCAAAAGCAGGAGCATCTTTGCTGCCCGAGTGACAGCAGTAAGAGGGACTTGCTGAACTCCGAATAGATTTCCACTTAAGATCTAGCTCTGAAAATGACTCATTTCCATTTAGCAAAGCCACTTTGCTAATGCTGAACACCATTTTTCCTCCTGCTTCCATAGAGTGGAGGCCACTTCCTGAGAGTAACCCCACCTAAGAGTTGTCAACAGAATTTGTATTTATAAACCACAGAACAGACAGAACTGAGTGTTTTTACATGATCTAATAATTCCCAGGAAGGAGAACTAATGGGAGATCCTCCTCACTTATTCCTTCCTGGTTAAGAATAAGGATGGCCAGGAATTTTACATTCAAGAGACTAGATAAAGAAGAAGTGCTCTGTCGACCTGGGGACACCTGAGACGGCTCCGTGCACACAAATCCAAGCAGATTTAATGCAGCAAGCCAGGCTTTGCTGCTGAGGAGCTCAGGCTGCTAGGAAACCAACCAAGCACTGAAATGAGAGGCTCGTGGGGATGAGTGGAACTAAAACGAGAGGCACTCCCCATTTCTGGGGCATATGGTTCCTAATGCCAAAATAGAAGTACTCAGTGCCTCTGAACCAAGAACAAACAATATACAGAAAACTTGTCTGTTTCAAAGAGGTTGAATTTTTCACATATATAACATTATATCTGTTCCATAAACAGGACCCCCAAATTACTGCTTTTAATGACAAAAAGCAGTCCTGATTCAGTTGTCATCAGAGGATGGGTGGGGCAGGAGTTCTGCTGGTCCATTCATCTCCTGTAAAAGGAGGACCTGGATGGAAGCTCTGTAACCCACTAACTAGTTAGATCACAGCACCTCAGGTCCTAGACCCTCCAGGCAAGTAGCCAGAACACATTATGTGCTCAGTCAACTCAAACTGACTGAATGCCTGCTCCTGGGCTGCTCCATTACCAAAGAGAAGAACACATGTGCTCATCCAGCAGTCATGGGCACATCCAGCTCATCCAGCACATGGGGCATGTGCTCATCCAGCAGTCATGCCCCAAGAGCAGCAATGCCAGGGCAGAGAGGCTGTAGGACACAGGGACTGCAGGCAGGAAACCATCGCCATTCAACCTGGCACTTAACATCTCTCTCACTCCTACCATGTTGCAGGCATAGTGGCAGCCCAGTGGGTAAGCTGCACAGGACAGCTTGTATAACCATAAGGACAAATGAAGGAGGACGGCCGTCCCCGAACAACAACGTGGGGGGTGGGGGGGCTGCCACCACCCTCTCCATAGTTGAAAATCCACGCATAATTTCTGACTCCCCCAAAACTTAACTACCAATAGCCTACTGTTGACCAGAGGGAAGCCTTACTGAGAGCATCAACAGAGGATTAACACATATTTTGTATGTTACACGTGTCACATACTGTACTCATAATAAGGCACGCTGGAGAACAGAAAATGTTAACAGAATCACATGGAAGATACGTTTACTGCACTGCACTATAAACAATCTGCACGTACGTGGACCCATGCAGCTTAAACCTGCATTGTCCGAGGGTCTGCTCTACGTAGAGGCAAGGTGAGCACTACTGAGGTGGTCAGAGCGCCGGTAGGGGGCGTCTCATCTCACCTGTAGAGTCCAGGAGGCTTTTTGCTGGAGGGTGAGGCAGTGGCTACTGGGGAAGGGGAGGCTGAAGGTGAGGACATGGCGCGTAAACACCCTCCTGTCAGGAAAGAGGGGGTGCGTGCAGGACCCAGACACCACTGCCAGGGCTGACGTGCAGAGGACAGAGGAGGTGGCAAGCGAGAAGGCATGAAGGGCACCGAGACACGCCTGGCAGGGCCTTGCATGCTGCACTAGACTGCGGACTATAAAGCAAGGCAGTGGGACAAAGTCCTCTCACTTCTACTTTGAAATAAAAGGAAATAACAAGATTAGGAAAACCATGCAACGGGGTAAGACAGGCTCTCCACATAGCTGGCAGTGGGTCCTCAACAGGCCACTGAACCCGAAGGCTTGTCTGGCTCCACAGCTGATCTCTGTGACATACACAGCGCCTGCCAGGGCCCACACGTGACTGCCACCCAGCAGGGCTGCCTGAGGCCGGCAGGAATATGCAAGAGGGGCACTGTCCAGGGAAGCTGTGCCTCAGCTTCCCTGTCTATCAAATGAGGAACCTCACCAGGTGGTTGGGAGTTGCACTGAGTTCATATGTATAAAAGCATTTAGAAGAGCGCTTGACATTCAGCTAGTGCTCAGTCTATGGAGTTACTGCAATTATCACGAGACGCTGTCTGACAATGCACTACAATGTGGTTGACCATCAGGAGCACCCTTATCTAGTAAAAGATGTGTCTCACAACAGAAGGAGTCCTACTGCAGCTCCAGCAGACACACTGTGACCACAGGAGACACTCAGCAGGAGCTGGCTTATTCACGTGAGAACTTACTCTCAGGGGTGCTGATCGCTCGTTTCGTTACATGGTCAACAGCTCCGCTGGACTCCTGCTCCAGGCTGTAGGAAGTTGCTAGGATAAAACAGTATAGTTTTATCTGCCCCAAAACACCCGAACATAATATCAAAGGGCAAAACAACCAAATCAGGAAAAATATTAGCAAAATATCTGATGAAGTTATTATCCCAAATAAGGTGTTCTTCTAATGAGGTAATTCAGAAAGATACCAAAAATGATAAACCTGAGAAACAATGTCCATCTCCACTAGGAAATTAAAACCATAATCAGTTTTGGTCTACAAAGCTTGGCAAAGAAGAGGGAAAATTGGAAAACCAGTGTTTCTAAGAAGGAAAAGGGACACTGGTGTACCTTTGCTCCCACCAATGTACAATGTGGAGTGAATGACAGAGGGCAGTCTGGGGCTTTAAAAATGTTCATGGCCTCTGAGTGCTGGGAATTAAATCCTAAAGATTACATATATACAAGGATGTTCACTGTGACATTACTTACTTCAAAAAATTGAAAAACACCTATATTTCCAAGAATAGGGTAATAGTAAATAGGTTCCAGTACTTCCGCAAGATAGAAAACTACAAAGCCACTGGGAGAAAAGATAGAAAGAAAAGTTCATGGAAAAATGTTCACTGTTGTTGTCAGTATGTGCAGAGAAGTGGATTACAAACCAGAAATGCACACTAAGATCACAACTTAAATTTTTTTTCTTAAGTTTATTGAGAGAGATGGAGACAGTGCAAGTGGGGAAGGGCAGAGAGAGAGGGAGACACAAAATCTGAAGCAGGCTCCAGGCTCATCAATGTCCGCACAGAGCCCAACATGGGGCTCGAACTCATGAAACCATGAGATCATGACCTGAGCCAAAACCGAGAGTCAGATGCTTAACCGACTGAGCCACCCAGGTGCTCCTAAGACCACAACTTTATAAATAAGGCCAAAGGCATGTGTGTGTGAGGAATAAAAAGACTGGAAGAATTAACACCTTACTGCTACAGGTGAGTTTTCACTTCACTCTCTTTTCCAAAATCTCTTATAAATATGCACTGTTTTATTACCTAGAATCCCAAATCCCGAAAGTTGTTTGTTTTAAAGATAAGAAAACAGAGGGGTGCCTGGTTGGCTCAGTAGGTTAGGCATCCAACTTCGGCTCAGGTCATGATCTCGCGGTTCATGGGTTCAAGCCCCGTGTTAGTCTCTGTGCTGACAACTCACAGCCTGGAACCTGCTTTGGTTCTCTGTGTCTCCCTCTCTCTCTGCCCCTCCCCTGCTCGCACTCTGTCTCTGTCTCAAAAATAAATAAACATTAAAAAAAATTTTTTTTGAAGATAAGAAAACAGAAATCATTTTGAAAGCAAAGAAAGGGAGACCTGTTCTGTCTTTTCATCTGTGTGTTCACTGTGTCTGCGATACAAAACCCCACACATCTACCAGCCCCTGGAGCTACCCTGGGACTTGGGACTTACCACGATGGCACACTTTGTCCAGGCTTTGAGAACTCAAAGGGAATGACAACCCTCCTGTACTCCGACTCCGGTGACTGCTGTTGGACTCCACAGCCTTCTTGACAGAATTCAGGATTGCGATGGTGCTCAGGGACATGCGCCTGCAGAGGAAAACAGGCCACAGGCATGCAGAGGAGGCTGAAAACACTGGAGTGACTGCCCTCTGCCTCTTGATTGTGCCCTCATCCACACCCATTTCAGATTTGAGTGCGAGGAGCCTGGAGGGTGTGGGTGAAAACGCCCAGTGGGGAAGATACAGATGCCACGGAGAAGGTGGTGAGAGGCAGGGGTCCCCGTTACTGACACACCGGCTCCATACCTGCCTTTGGGCATAAGTGTCTTCAACAGCCCTGTCTCTAGGGTAGAAGGCAGAGGCGGTGCCTGGCCAGCAATAGCCCTGGGTGTTGAGGGCTGGCTTGCAGCAGCGGGCACAGCAGCACCTTCTTGGCCAGCCAGAGCTGGCATTCCTTCGAAACTTGGAGCAACCTGTCAGGGAAGATAAAGAAAGACTGTTTATCTACTGACACTTTTATTTCTTTATTTTTAAATAGAACCTTTACATGCCCTAAGTCCATAAGTAATTTATTTTAAAACCATGTCAGCCATGGGCACACAGAACGTTCTCTCCAGAAACAGTTGAGGCAGATGTGGTGTTAAAGAGAAAAAAGATTAAGTTAGTTTGTCCTAATCATTTTTTAATGCAGCAGATATGTCTGGATTTCTCAGAGAAGTGAGCACACTGTGTCTGAAAATGAACAGCAGCTCACCTAGAAATAGCCCAAGTGACATTCTGTCCGAAACAGGGGCGCACAGGAAGCAGGACCATAAGTGAATGGAGACACCTAGGGGGATCTGGTTAGCTGTGATCACTATAACCAGATTAAATAACTCGACTACCAGCTTGCTTTCTGGGTATTCACGTACTTCCCCCAAGTATTACTATGACTTTCCAGACAAGTTCATGTGATCCGGCCATGAGGGAAGGGAAGCCTCCCTGATCGAGTGATCTGCATGGCACACGTGGCAAAGGAACACGCAGCAGTCCCGAAGGTCTCACTCACACCAGCCTCAGCTTGTGTGTGGGTTTCGAGAAGCACTAGGAAAGCTGGTGGCAGAGGGAAGACTGTGAAGGTGGGCCACCCCGCACCTGCTCTCTGTGCACCTGCCGGCCCTGTAAGCCGCCCCACTCACGTCTGCCAGTCTCGCCAGCTCCTGCTCCTGGGCTAGCTGTTCGTTGTACTTCTTCATGTCGTACTCGAGCTCCGACGCCAGCTGCTTGTCTAATGCAAAGAAGTCCTTGATTTCATCGCGGTAATCCTGCATCACCTCCTAAAACAGATCCCAGAGGCACACTTTAGTAAGTTTTCTTAAATAAACTTACCTGACCTGACAATTATTAACACGAACAGGAAGACATGTGTTGCTGAACTATTTCTAGTACATCAACCAACAAGTTAAGTAACATAATGGTGTTTTCCCAGGAAATGCCAAACATGCATGTATTTACCACACAAACCAGTGAGCTCAACATGAGACATTAACTATTAGTTCTGATCTCTTACGGAGCTTCCTGCCTATCTGCCAATTAATAGGAAATTTCCCAGGTTCCTGATGAAGGACAAAGGACAAGGAATCACACAATCTTTGCCTAAAGCAGAACTTACAACAGAGGCACAGAACTGCCACCAATAAGCTACCACCTTTCCATTCTTGAAGGCTGGGATGGGGATGGTGACATATCTAGGTGGTTGGGCTTGGCTCTAAGTCAAGGATCTAGTTTAAAGGGTCTTGTAGTGTCAGGCCCCTTAGAAATTGAAGCCAGAGGTTATATGGGCAGGTAATACATGGCATGTCCTGGTGCAGACAGGGCCTCTGGAACACGTTACAGAAAGCAGTGCAGTGTAAAAGTTGCTCATCTATCTGTCCACACTAGCTTTCTGAGAGGACTGCAACTATCTTTGTGTCTTTTGAAAATAGGACAGAAAACCTTTCATCATATGAACGTAAGAACATTCTCAGGTCTGAAAAGGGGCTGCCAGGGACCAGACCTCCTTGCTAAGAGAAAGAAACCACTTCACCTAACAGTGCTAGAGGGAGAAGCTTTATCGTAGCCCCAAGTGCAAGGCAAGTCCCAACAAAGGGAAGGAACTCTATGAATGCTTCCAGCTGCCACCAAGAGAGGGTTGCCCAAATGAGACGAAAGAGTGGCCAGAGCTGCTTGCACAGAAGGCTGCCAATGCACATGTGCCACGCTGCTGGAGCTGGAGGAAGGCAGCTATGTGGCCGTTCTCTGGGCATGTGCTCAGACAGGAGAAAGACTCATTGTTCGGAAGCCTTTCAGCAGTTTATTGAGGGTCTAAACTCCTTTCTTTCTGAGCTTTAAAACAGGGCAATAAAAGTATAAGAATAACTGGAAGTTGCCATTTTTTCCCACACAATTATCCTATCTCTCCTACCTTAACTTTTTTAAAGAGATATTTGAAGAATTTACATTCAGTGTAATTTGGTGGTAGCCCTTATTGGCAAAAAAAATTTTTAGCTTTTTTTTGGAGGGAAGAAAATGGCATAGTGTAAACAGAGAAAGGAAAAAATGTTGCATTTATTTCTGATTGAAAAATTTTGCCAGAAAGGTCAGGGGCCTCATTTATATCTGCACGGCAAGTCCACTTATCTTGGGTGCTTAGACTGCAACCTTTGATGGCTTTGGATTCCACCGGTGATGGCAGCCCAGCCCCATCAGCGCTCCCCAAGACCCACTGCTATTTCCTGATGCAGAGGAAGTGTTAAAGGTAAACAACCCCAAATTAAACATGATGCCCAGTCACTTTATCCCTCACCAGAATGAACTAAGATGATACCTTTGTACCTTGACCCTAGCTGAGAAAGCTTTCAGAACTAAATCTCAAAACTGGCATCAAGGACACACATGTTCAGTACAGTGGGTCAGCCCTTCATAAACTCAATTGCATGAAAAAGGCAAGAACTGGCTTCTGTGGAACCTATGGTCAAACTCTCTCTTCTCCGCCACAGTCAAAGGCCTGTCTGGCTGGTCTAGTTCTAGAAAAATGTGAAGCTGGTTTTGTAGCAGTTTGAGCTCCTAAATTCACTGACCAACTGCACCATCATAACTGCTACAGATTCTGACTACTGAGCTGGAGAAGGGAGACACCCCAACCACAAAGCACAAGGTCATCTTTTACCCTGAGATAGGTCATGAGTTCCCGCAAAGCTGGGATCTTATTTCTCTCTAGCACAGTCTTCAGGGAGATGATAATTGGAATAATATTTTCTATGAAATTCTTCTTCTGAACCTGTAGTAACACAAACAAAGGCATGTTTTAGGTGGAAAAGTTCTGAGACAAAGGCTTCTCCTTGACCTAGTTCTTTCTGTACAGCCAATCTAGGGTGCTACAGAAGCTTCTTATTTTTTTATTATGATACTGGAGATTGTAGAGGACCCAGCACCTTTGTCCTGGAGACTTTATAAGCATTACCTCAAAACACTCTGAAGGATTTGTGAAGGAGGATGAGGATGAATGCTATTCTTACTTTCTAAACAAGAAGCGGGAATTAGAAAAATGTTGAATAACTTGACAGCAAGCTCCAAATGTCCACACAAATCCATCTCAGATGCATTCCATTCTTCCACTCAGGAGGAATGAAAATGAGCTCAAAAGAGACATTTTTTTTTTCCTGATGTGAAATGGCAAATAGTTGAGAACGGCAAACATGAGTCAATTTGGTATCTCTCTCTTTTTGTGTGTCTAAACTTTGCACACATTTAGAAAAGGGTTATGTATTTATATAGTACCTGATTTGACCAAGCCTTCAAATTCTTTACCATGAATGGTCACTAGCCACAAATATTTTGTAATAAATCTCTTAGAATTAAAAATAATCATTATAACAGCCCTCATATGTGGTAAGATTTATCATTTTGAATCTGACAAGTATTCTTTTTCCTCTCATTTATACTCACTAGTATAGGTTCCTTCCTTGTAAATCACTATTTCTAAAAACGTCTTATCAGAGTTCCTGAAATAGAAGGGCAATTGGTAGAGAAATAAACAAATAAATATGAATCTGAGCAGATGGTTAAGTATAGGGATAGTCTTAAAAAGTGGTCTAAGTGAATTCAACTCAATAAATGTTATCAAATGCCTTCTCTGTACCAGACACAAAGCTAACCCCTGGGGATGTAGAAACGAAGCCAAGAATTCTTGCCTTCAAGCTGCTTCTAGACAAGACTGTGTGCTCTGATGTGTGGCATGGTGTGACAGCTGGCAGGATGGTGAGGGATTTATAGACAAGGGATGCCTAGAGAGGCAGGGGCTTCTTTTGAAAAGATGTAGGAGTTTGGTGGCAGGAAAGGAGGACAGGGAGGGAGAGGCCCTGCAGGCAGACAGATGGGCAGCACACAAAGACACAATGGCAGAAGCGACGCTTTCTACCCAAGGAACCAACAGTGACCTGGATGGGATGGTCAAGGAGGGGGGCGTAGAGACGGGAGGCGCAAGGGCGGAGGGACACCCAACAGCTCTGTGTGTCTTGAAAAAGAATCAGGATTTTACTCAGAAGATGATTGGAAGCCACCAAACGACTGACTAAAGGTAGCATTAGTGGGCTATAACTTAGATGTGATAAAATTTACCCATGTTAAGTGAACACTTTGATGAGTCTGACAACGGTACAGAGGTGACTAACCAACACTATCTATCATCCACATAACCACCTGTAATCTATCACCCTGAAGGTTCCCTGCTGCCTTTGCAGCCAATCTCCCTCCAGTCTCTTTTAACCAGGAAGATAAAATGATCCAATTTGTCCTTAAGAAAGACTGCTGTGGCAGCAAAGTGGTATACAGCCTGGAACAGAAAGAAACTAGAGACATAAAGGGTGCCAGAAATGGCACCAGGTTAAGTGTGTGCAGAACTGGTTGGAATGGGGTAGAGAGATGGGTTTGTGAGATAAAATATATAGGATCTGCTAACACACTGAATGACATCAAAATCTATTTCTTTGAGGTCCAAAGTTTTCAGGGCTCAGGTGGGAAATAGAGCCTAGTAATTGAGGCCAGGTGTAAGAACTGGGGCCTTGTGACTATGGCAATTTAGCACTCCCTTAAATCAGTCTGATCCCAGTTTTCACATTCTGGCCAAAGGAAGCATGCACCTGGCATGCCAGACTTCAGGTTCCCTAATGGACAACTTGGTAGATAACAGTCTCCTTCTCTACAGTAGAGACTGTGGGAAGAGAGACAAAGAGGAGGAAGAGAGGAGTAACTCTGTTTGGCCACACTAAGCCTGAAATGTCTGTGGCACATTCAGGCAGGCAAGTGGGATGTGTTCAGGCCATGAGAGAAGTTGGAGCTAGAAACACAGAGGCAGAAACATCATCACTGGGGTGCATCTTAAGGCCATGGGTGAGAATGAAATCTGGATCTGAGGTAGACCACCAGTAGTTAGGGGGCGGACAGAGAAGCATGGGCGTAAACAGGCCCATTTATGGAACAACAAACTCACTTGTGAGATGAGCCTCTTCTGAGCTTCCTGCATGACTGCATTGGCCAAAGCTGTGTCATCTTCTTCCATAAGCAGGTCCTTATCTGCTTTAGATCTCATGGCCAAAAGCTTGATCTCCTTTGAGCTGAGGACCTCAAATGTATCTGAGAGCAACTCACTGGCTTCCATGTCCAGTGGCAGGATGCCGTCAGCAAAGCATGCTGGAAAAGAGCACAAAAGATCAGCCCCCGAGAAAGAGTCCAGCCCCAGGGTGGGGGAAATGTATCCCACAGAGCTAGGAGGGCTCCTCTTGGCTTCAAGGTGGGTGTCTGCATTGGCACAGCTGATGTCAAAGAAAGCAAAAATGGGGTCCTCCCACAGTACGAGGGTCTCATTTGCTGCTGGTCTGCACTAGCCACACAGTATTTCATTTGGAAACATATACTTTATCCCAAACACACCAGGCCTACCCAAAATACTAAGGCAGATTTTAGAAGTGATATTGAATCGCTGTTCATCTGTGAAGTGCTCCAGAAGAAACTTGTAGATTTTCATTCGTTTCTGCTTGTTTGTCTTCCCCTTCAGTGAAAACAGCCGCTTCTCTCTATAGCAAAATGGGACAATTTTATCACACATCACGTGGGCAAGGGTACAAGGACATTACTTTCTACAGCATTCTGCAGCATCCTAAAAGCCGTCTACACAAGGCTTACATAAGTGCACGGAGGAGATGACAGTGCTTCCCAGAGGCACCTCCTTTAGGCTGCTACTTGCATGGGTGAACTGCCTGGAGTCACTGGCCAAGAGAAGGAAGGCCACCACAAGGAATGCCGGGGCCGTGTCTGTTCACCCAGCCCTTCCCAAGAGCTTCACTAACCTCTCTGACTGGGGGAATTTGTTATACTTCTCATGCTTCTCATAGTTATTGAAGTGGAAGATACACTCAATGAAATGCTGGAAGAACATGACAGGATTCCTCTTCAGTAACAGGTGAGCCAGGCAAAACTCCCCAAAACTGCAAAGAAGGAGGAAACAGAAGAAAGAGACCTGTTTGCGGTTCGCAGACAGTCTCTAAAATTACATAAGAATGCTGAGATGTGAATAAGAGAAAGGGATATGTAATCTATCCCAATACCCAGCTTCATTCAGATCAAAAGCAAGATACAAATTTAGCTTCTTTTGTCTGTCCTTGCTCAACAGCCTCCTTTTTGAATCCAAGGTCAGCATAAAGGCTTTTTCTACAAGGATTCCTTTGAAAATTCTAACAAGGTGTTATTATTCAGCTACACTTCAAATGTGGGAGAACAACCAACTGCCCCCAAATTGCTCTTTTAAGCAAAACCCTGTGGTCCTCATGGCTGATGCAACAACAAACCACTACCAAAAAATGAGTATTTGGCTTCCCCACCCCACTTTGAGGTTTGTTGCCCACAATAATGAGCAAAAACCTGTTTTAGTAACTGGGACTTTTTCAAGAATTGGGATTAATTACAAGAGCCTCAGAGTTTGGGTCAGCACAGATAGTGAAGGGCTCTCACTGAGCTTTGGACTCATCAGCAAGCCCTGGGCACTCTCCTTTCTCCTGTGCCCCTAAATCTTGGAGAGGCATCCAACATGAGATACTGATGTCACCAGCACCGCACCCATCTGAAGAGCAAAACACTAACAGTTTCCAAAGTCAAATGGACATGGACAAAGGCAGGCTATCTAACTACAGGCCTCGGACAGTTTGTTTAGTAGGGGAGAGAGTTTGCCCAGGAAACAGTATGGGGTGGTGCAAGGCTGGCTCTGATCCATTCAGATTGTGCAGACGATTGTCTTAATTTCATTTCAGAGATAAATGCAATTTCAACCTGCACAGGGGCACCACTCAGCTCTCAAGGGTGGGTGGTAGTGACAAGGATGACCCAAAACAATTCTTGGCTTTGGAATGCATAGGACTTGCAGGAGATTCACCTTCCCCTAATGATCCTTCTGAGGCTAATATTAAAATCACTCTGTATTCAAAGCACACCATCAATTAAAACTTAAAGAAGGTAGTTCCAAAAACGATGTTGAAGTAAGCCTAGGTAAAAATTTCACTGTAAATAGCAGCACTTTATCTATTCATTCACCCAGGAAATAAGGGAGCAGCCTGACATTCTGAACCCAAAACAAGTACAACTCTGTATCATAAAGGGAATCTCCGAAGCAGAATTTCACTTAAGGCCAGCTAGAAGCACCTACTGATCTAGGAGCCATTTGTGACCACCATTAAGTAAACAAAAACTATTCCCCCCAAAACAACAAGATGTCACTTTCTGCAGTGTTTTATTACGGTTAACCTTCCACGGCACAGCAGTTCTTACAACTACCTGCATTTTCTCCTCATATTTGAAGTCATTCACATGACAATAAGATCAGACAGAATCCAGGAACTCTTCTGCAAGAAGAAGGGCTGCTCTGAGCTTCAACTTACGGGCTTCAACTTGATGTCAAACATTCCTCTACTCGGAGTTCAGGTCAAGAATACATACTGGGAGAGGGAACTAACTGGTGGGCAAGATACTGCAGTCTACTCCCTAGTGAATAACTGGCTTAACCAACTACACAGATAAATCTAATAGTAACATAAATTATGCAAAGGATTCACATGCTCAGGGCTGGAAGCAGAGTGAGAGGGCTCTGCATCATGAGAAGCCAGAAACCACAGTCAATGGGGTAACATCCAGCACTAATCCTGCTGCTGCATTTACTGGGGCTTAAAAGGGTACATTTCATCCCTGACTGGATCAAACTCACAGATCCTACTAGCTTGACAAACTGGGGAAGAGAGACAATTCTGCATTTTTTTGTTTGTTTGTTTGTCAGCTGTAAAGTTAAAAAAAATGAGCAGTCCAAGCAGTGCTTCCTGGAGCATTCCTTTAGAGTGGCAGAAGGCAGCACTCTTCAGGTACCTGGAACGGAAAGCTTCAACAGCCCCAAAGACACCGCACTAAGTTAAGATCTCAGCATCCTTTCCCACCACTTCTCATCCCTCAGGACAATTAAAAGAAACAGCATGTAATCACACCACCAATTCAGGGATACCCTGTAAACATTTTACACAGCATTAATTGTGTTATATAGAAGACCAGCTAAATCTGGGTCATAATAATCTTGCAGAAAACAATTATTACTCTCTTAGTAAGAATCCAAATCCAGATTTCAAACAGCCTTACTTCCACTTTCAGTATTAGTAGGAACATAAAAATCTGACTATTTTCAGATATTTTCCCATGCCAAATGCTATTCTGAAGCAGCTATCTGTTCAATAAAGGCCACTGTTCATGGACTCCTATTCCTGATCTGGCCTACAACATGGTCTATCTCAGACCGACTTATGCCAGAATTCTCTTTGAAACCTGAGGCAAGTAATTTCCCACATCTATGTGCTCCTTGGCTACACCCCAAATCCAGGCCCCCTTGTTACCCAGTCCTCCTCATCTCTCTCACATCCCTATACTGTTCTGTTTCTTTTCTCCTCATCTCACTTCCCATGTCTCCTTTCCCCGGCCTTGAGTGCTTCCACAGTGTATACTGTACTTCCCAGGAGTCAGCTCTCTCCCCTCTCCACACTTCCCTTCTTCGCAAGTCAGGGCTGGCTTTCCTCTGGGGACACCATTTCCCACAGTCCTCTTAAGGGAAGGCCACTTGCTGCTTCTCCCAAACGCCAGAGTCGAGGAAGGAGGACCATATTCCCACACCCACTACCCCCGCCCCCGTCATAATATTTTCATTCATTCATTTATGAAATGTTCATTGAGGGTCCACTTAGTCTCAGGCTCTCTTTTAGGTGCTAGGGATACCGCAGTCAACAAAACAAAATCTTGGCCCCTCCCAGATGCTTATATTCTAGCAGGTAGAGAGATGTTATACATACAAATATGCTGCCACAAGTGCTCTGAAGAAAAGGCTATTTGAGGAAGGTACAGGAAAGAGGGAATGGTGGGTTGGCTTCCTCTACCTGGTCCATGTAATAATACCTTTTCTACAGAGCCTTCTCTACAGAGGCTCTGGCTATCTATTTGCCCCTCAACTGCTTGGTAACCACTTCCTAGTTTTAGTTTTTTCCATTCCAGATCCCAGCATCACTGCTATGGTCTGAATATTGTGTCCCCCCACCCCTGCCCCATTCCTATGTTGGAAACCTAGACCCTAAGGAAATGGTCTTAGGATGCTGGGCCTTTGGGGTTAGTGAATGAGATTAAAGTCCTTATAAAAGAAGCCCCAGAAAGATCTCTCATCCCTTCTACCATGTGAAGATACAAACAGAAACTAGCTATCTGGAGGAGGACCTTCACCAGACCCCAACTGTGCTGGCGCCCTGGTCTCAGACTTCCAGCCTCCAAAAGGTGAGAAAGAAATTTTTGTTGTTATAAGCTACTAGGTCTGTGGTATTTTGTTGTAACTATCTGAATTGACCAAGACAATCTCTCAGAGCATCTTCAATGTCTACAGATGGGCTCATTTAACCCCTAACTTTCTGTTTTTCTGATTACATCGGCTCTAGTGACCCTTACGCCTATGCTCTGGGAAGCTACTCTGCAGCCCCATCCAGAACATGTCACTACACCTGGAACACCCACTTCTGAAGTCAGCTAATCTACCTCATGATCACATACACATATCCTTCCAGCTTTCTGACCTCATCCCCATTCCTCTTGTTCCACAGCTTCACTAAGCCCTCTAGGTACTCACTTCCTCTCCTCCAAACCAAACAATCTCTGTCTTTACTTCCTTTTCTATCTCAATGGCCATTATCTTAGTCATTCTCTTACCTTGAATCTCTCTGGCCGTCTTTTGCACTTCTGCAGCATTTGCCCAGTTAACCTCAAAACAACCAGCCTGTAACCTTTCAATCTGTGAATGCTGTACCACAAGGACACCACCTTGTAGGCAGAGGGGAAAGTACATCAATACAATTTTGCAGCCTCCAAATTGTGGGTGTGTACGACCAATTAAAAATGTCATGCGAGGGGCGCCTGGGTGGCGCAGTCGGTTAAGCGTCCGACTTCAGCCAGGTCACGATCTCGCGGTCCGTGAGTTCGAGCCCCGCGTCAGGCTCTGGGCTGATGGCTCAGAGCCTGGAGCCTGTTTCCGATTCTGTGTCTCCCTCTCTCTCTGCCCCTCCCCCGCTCATGCTCTGTCTCTCTCTGTCCCAAAAATAAATAAACGTTGAAAAAAAAAAATAAAAATAAAAAAATGTCATGCGAATTTGCTCATGCCAGAATCTTCAGGAAATCCTCCTGGGCCAGAAATAAATGCAACAGGCTCTGTCACTAGTCTCTTTCGAAGATCTGTATTAGTAGATACATATGGAAAAACTAATGTGTTTGATGTAAGCAGACTGGCCTGACCTAAAACTAGGGAAAGAGACTAATTTAAATTACAGTTAACAAAGGTAGTCATCAGCTTATCAAAGCTGAAAATCAGGACCCACATTTGAACAACTGTTTAAACACACCCACAATACAGGGATAAAATAGACTTAAAAAAGAAGTATCAAAATACTGTAAGAGGCACTGATAATTTTACTATGGTGTAATTACCTATCCGGTTTTCTAATTTCTTTCTGATTCATACTCTGATCGCCTATACAACAGGTTCTGTGTATGTTACATACTGATCAATGCTCTTGTTAACATACATGCATAGGAGCTGAGAAAAGTAAGTAAACCCAAAAGTGCAAGCTAAACAACCAATCTTACCTCCCAGGCTCATCATGTGAAAACCTTCTCAACACTTCTAATTATGCCAGCTTCTGGGCTACACATTGTATAGAGAACACCATGACAGCCAATCTTATGGTAGCAGAGTAAAGGTGAGAGGGCAATGCATTGCTATTTTGGTCCTTTCTCTCTCAATTATATACACAAAGAAAAAGTAATAGTCTTAGCTTTTTATTTCTGATTCTAGATAGCATTAATTGGAATGTTAACCTTCTACTAGTTTAGTATGTAAAATATTCCTTCTTGGAAAATTATACCCAAAGAAAACTGAACGGAAATTCTTTCATGGAACTCAGAGTAAATCATTGGTGACCATATTTAGAAGCAGAGGGACCCATTATTTTAAGTTATTTATAGTTAATGAACTCTATAAAGACCTTTTCCCAACTGTGGCAGCTTTTGCCATGGCATTCAACATTCTATTTTCCAATTGCAGACTTGCTTTAAAAAGAATTATTCATGCAACATAATCAAGGTTAACTAATTCTGTGGGATCATTTCTCATCCCCTTGAAAATAAATCCTTAAAAAAATTATAGAATGATAGGAATTAACAAGTGACAAAGCAATTCCCTTCCCTTCCAATTCCTTGGGAATTGATAGGGAAGCCTTGTAATTTGTATAATCTCATTTTACACTGTGTGATTGTCTTAATTCCTAGAATTTCTTCTTTATAATTTCTACACTTAAAAGAAAGCCTTAACTCCATCAAAACTGACATTTTATTGGCCTAGAAATCAACACAGTTAAGTCAACAGTTAATGGCTAAAATTCCATATAATTTACTATGACAAAGTCATATACTGCTGTTCATTACTCCTTTAGGGAAGAATCAACAATGTTAGCAAATGTAGTAATTTCTGAGATTATTTAATAGTCAATCTGGATGAGTGATTTATTAATTTTTTATTTATGTGCAAAATAAAGCTTTGTTGGGGCACTAGGTGGCTCAGCTGCTTAAGTGTCTGACTCTTGATTTTGGCTCAGGTCATGATCTCGGGATCACAGATCATCCTCTGCACTGACAACATGGAGCCTGCTTGGGATTGTCTCTCTCCCTTTCTCTCTGCTCCTCCTCCACTTGCATGTGCATGCGCTCTCTCTCTCTCTCTCTCTCTATCTCTCTCTCTCAAAATAAATAAACATAAAAAAATAAAGCTTTGTTATATAGCTTAAAAATCTGCTAGTTTTCTGGCAACTGCCAAAAGCTCACTAAATCCTAAATAACTCAACTCTAAACCAATTTTAGAGAAAAGAGATCTAATATATACCAGAAATTTGGTAAATCGTTCAATCATCTGACATGTGAGGGAAGTTACCTGGCGATGTCCGGGTGTGAATCTATCAGAGTGCTAACAAATCGAAAGAACAGAGAGCCCTTCCATTTCACAAATTCTTCCTGTACAAAGAGAAACCGGAATGTTTAAGGATGAATTGTAATATACAAACTTTAAATGCATTCAGTTATAAAACCAACTGTTAACTTTCTTTTGTTTAACATCACACCTGTCAGCTACTCAGTCTGTCTGTGGCACATTAGCGCAATTTGTTAGCACTCACTTCCCAACCATCTTGAAAGCACATACACTTGTTAATCACGAAGAGAAGTGGAGGGATATGTGGGTAGAAGAGCATCATATCTACTCTATTAGGAAAATGACTCAAAGCACATGGCTTTAAAAGGGAGAGTGCCAATGGTGCCTTCGTCAGGTACCTAACCAACCACGTAAAAAAATAAGCCTACAGAACATACTAGAATAGATATACAACTTGGTTAAATGCCTTCTTTTTAAAGATCAAATATTTCCTTCCTCACTATAGGCTAAACATAGGTTCTCAGTGGGAAGAAAAACATTGAATACTCTGTTCACTGAGAGTTCTGAGTTCACGAAGCTCTTTTGCCCACTAAAATGTCTCATTGGACTCTCAGAGCAACTCTGAAACAGCAGGGCAGATATGATCCTCACTTCACAAAAGAAGAAGTTACGTCTGAGAAGCACTGATCTGTTCAAAGTCAAGAATGACAGAACCGGAACTAGAACTACTGTCCACTGAGCGGGCTAATCCTTGCATGGAGTTTATTCGCAAACATGAAACTTCACTTTGGCTTATGAGATATCTGAACATACACCCAAAACAAGTATTGGGAAGTAACAATCTGTTTAAGAAGGCTGTACAGAACAGTAGAATGATATTTTAAACCAGAGAACAGGCTGATTATTTTTCGATTCTATTAGAGAGCAGCACATTTCCTATACTACTCAAGTATTCCTTGAAACCAGAAGAAATAGTGGAAGGAAAAAAAAAATGACGGGCCCAATTCTCATACATACCTGCAAGAGATTGGTAAGCAAGATGAGTGTCTGCTTTCGGATGAATGGATTTGAATCCTTCAGACACATGGAGATATTGGGAATGTACTTGTCCACCATGACGGTGTACCGGATACAAAGGTCACACATCACAATGACAACATTGTTGCGAACGGCCACATCATCACACACCTCCAGCTCTCGCACAAGAGCTGGGATGCTCTTCTTTGCAAGATCCTCATGCTGTAAGCACAACTTACCTGTCACAGAAGATGAAGATGTCTTGACTTTAATAACTCTATGCCTAAATTTTCTCCAGATATATCTTGCTATGGATTTTACTTGATCAAAGTTAAAATATCATGTCAATAATCACAAACAAAACAAAATCAAAAACAAACCCATACTACTAAATATAAGGAGGTTCAAAATACCTAAAAATAATGTCCCCCCCCCCCCCACGGCCCCTCCAGGGTTCCACGAGACATACACTAAGAGATGTTCCTTCACTGGAGTAAAACTATCCTCTTTTTAAAGTCAACATTTGAATTTGAGAGTTATCTACTTCCCTTCAAAATGACTAACAAAATCTAATAGCTAAAAAGTTTAGCAATGAATTTGAAATCTGAGCTAGGCAAACAGGAAAGAATAATCACCTCATTTTACTTCTCGTTCACAGTTAGGAGAAGGAAGGCTGTTGTTGAGTTTTATTGGTTTGTATATTTTTGTGACCTGGGGAATGTTTTGCTCTCATTCACAATTCTTAGATTTTTGAAAAATAACTGCTATTACAAAAAATTTCATAAATCCTACCCAGCATAAAATACATAGTTATACTTAAAAAAAATTAAAGTATAGCACAGAGGTCCATCTTTTCAAGATTAACAACAATTTGAGTCCATGCGGAAATGTTTAATAGCTCATCTACCAGTTCTGGTATCAGATAAACTATCTCCTTTTATGAACTGAACTGCAAATTTATTTTTTCATTCCCAGAAATCAATGTAGCGCCTGATTCTGATTAGTGCAGTGTCTTGATGAAGACTTTATGGTGCTGCATTATGAGTATTAAAAAACAACCCACAGGACAGGTATAATTGTGATAAATTAACATAAAAAACAAAAGCTCCCTCCAGGGAGTGCCTTGAGTCTGATCATCTAGGGTAGCTGCCAACTGAGGGCTCTCATTATCAGCACTCTGGTATGCCTCTGAGCTGGGGGTTGCTATCAGAATTCCCTTCCAAATTCACAAGAGCTAGAATAAACACTAGCTCCGTGTATGTAACATATTTACTAAGGCTGGCTTATTTGAGACAAAAAGCTACCTATGGAACTAAACTGCACAAACAATACTTTCCCCACATTATTCTCACTTACCCAAGGTAATGATGGCATGTGCTCTGATCACGGAAGGCATGACAGAGCCTCTGACCTGGGAAAGTGGCTGAAACGCTGGGGCTTCACTGCAACCTGGAGGTGATGCTGCTACAAGGAAGGAAAAGAGGACTTATTTACAGTATCTCAGGGGCCAAGTCCGCCTTAAGATAGCACATGCAGAGGATAATTTCAAGTGCCTTACAATGATCCACATCAACAGAAGAAGCGAGGATGGACTGAATCAGAAGGAAGGCTCGCTTCTCCACTCTGGCTGGACAAAGCTGGGCTATATCTCCCAAGGTAAAAATGTACTTCACCTGAAAAAAGAATTGGTTTTGCAATATAATAAGGCAAAAGAAAAATAACTCTAGCTAAAGACATGTCAATATTTTTTTGTTCCCCAAATTAAAACAACTATTTTTTTCATAAAAATAGTCACTGGGAAAACTTAGTCATTACTTGGTAAAATTCACTCTATCTTTTATGTCAATATATATAGTTAATATGTTTAATGACTACATAAGTACATTAAAAACTATGATGTTATCATAGTTTACTCCATTACTAATGAACATTTACATTGTTTCTAATCCTTTGCTACTGTTTGCATTCCGTCTGAGGAACACTTTTGCACCTTTAAGTACTGTTCCACTTCCTTAGAAGTAATCTAGGGTTTAAAGGGCATAAAGTTGTTTTACATTTTAAAACATATTTCCAAAGGGTGTTCCTGATTGGTTTACTATTTAGACTCCTATCAAAAACTTGTAAGTGCTAGCTTCCTCACAGCTGCTTCTACTGTGTGTTTAAGAACATACAACTTGATAGTTAATAACACTGGTTTTAATTTATCCCAGAGAAGCATGGGTGAGGCTAAACAGTAAAATGTGAAAGGCTTAGAGTGAGGAAGCCAGTAAGTGTATGTATATTTAAAAAATCCTGAACATGTATCTCTTAGTGGATGAAAGGAATACTTGCATTATATTTAAAGAAGAGTGAAGTAAACAATATTATATAGGGCAAAACTTCTCCATATATATTTTGACTGAAAGGTAGATTTTGGTGACATATTTAACAGTTGAAAAGAAAAATCTTAGAAGGAAAAACTCTCTGGTCATGACAAGCATTTTTCTTAGTTTGGGCAGTAGCTGCTCAAATTAGAGGTGCAAGACCCTCTAGAAAGCTTGGGATGGGGACATCCTACACGTCACAGCCCCCTGCACTGAAATGTGTGGATTCCTACTGATAATAGTTTTATTACTGAAGTGTTCACATTAATGCCTCAGCACAACCGGTCTCTTGTCACAAATCTCAACATAGTCTTTGGTCTCAAGGTACAAATGTGAGGTGGCAAAGCAGGCAAGCACAGAGGAGAGGAACAGATGAGGAAAATGGCCAGTTCTGGTGAAATGATGGCTTATACTGAAGAGCATGAAGAAGCAGCTCGTTATTTGCTTTACTGAGTGTCAGATGTTGGAGTCAGAATGACTGCAACATGTTTTGTGGACGGTCAGTCACATGAATCGGGAAATTGCACATTTACTGGCACACAGGACTCTCTGGCACCAACAAAATTTCTAAAGCAGGGTGCCATGTCACCCAATCTTGCTGCTCCAATGTTATTTGTGTTTTTAGTTGTCAAATATTTCACTGTATTATAGGCATGGTTCAGAACGGCTCCACATGATTCCCTAGTTCTACAATCTGATATTCAAACAGCTTAGCAGACACATTAGAATTTAAAAACATATTGAACAAACAAACCAAAAGAACAAGGAGCACCCTCACTTTATTCTTTTCTTGCCCTATTATTTCATAATATGCCCTGTGTTTTCCCTAATGGATTAGGCACCTCACAGGCTCTAACTGGATAAAGTATATCCCATCAAGTTTTCCCCCAGATAATAAGAACATGAAAGAAAAATGAATAGGTCGGTCACCAACACAGAAATTCTTCTTTTTAGAAGAGTAAGCTCTAGGCTAGAAAATCCTTTTCTTGCCAATAGTATTAAAAATACACATTAGAAAGTCATCTTTAGAAAATCCCAGCTGATATAAAGGAAAACAATAGTTAAGAAAAGTAATTACTTACGAACAGGTCTTCATCCACATTCCCAGGGCCACTTTCCTTCAGAACTATGTTGGACAGAGACTGCACACAGGTGGAGAGGACATCCCCACACACCCGCTTCAGTAATTCCTGCAGCAAGTCAAAGGTAATCTCTGAAGGATCCCACACATCTACTAGACTGTCCATGAAACAATTGTCTCAGAAGAAACTCTATGGTCTTCAAAGGCATAAACCATAAGAAGCCTTATGAGAAGCCTCAGCCATCATGCTTTTGGATCTTTGCTCTTTTAGCAATCTGCCTATAAGGACTAAGCAGAATTTACAAAGAACAGTACATATATACAGCATACACACACATATATAGATGCCATAAATATGTGTGTGTGTGTGTGTGTGTGTGTGTGTAGATATCATATCTTTCTACATGTGCCCTTTAAGAGCAAAAGGCAAATATCTGGGAAGATCTAGCGCCCTAACTGATAAGAGTTCTGTAATAGCAGTGCTGCTCCTTTAATAGAGAAAAACATCACAATTCGTCCAGTATGTGTAGATGGTGAAGTAACTACTACAGTAAATAGTATATTTTCTAAAGACATGGAATAAAAAAAAACATTTGTTATCGTTTTGAAATGTATTCCTTAAAGACAAGTTTTCAGTGCTTTTTATTAGTTAAAATAACCTCAAGGGGTCACCACTACTGGTACACAACACTTCTATGCTAAGCAAGGGAGCTGAATCACATTCTACAACTCTGACTACATTTCCAGTAGGAGGCCAGTCCAAAATACCCAGGTTGAACTAAGTGGCTTGAACCCAAGACTTCCATATTACCCTATGTTCATTTCTCTTTTAGGAATGATTATATTATTCCTAATAATTATATTACATATTATGTTGAAATCACCTGTTTCCATGTGTGTCTGCCCTATTATGCTGTGGGTGACTTAGGAAGACATTGTTTTATTTATTTTATTTTAGAGAAAGAACACGAGCAGGGGAGAGGGGTAGAGTGTGGAGAGAGAATCTCAAGCAGGTTCCACACTGTCAGTGAGGAGCTGGGGCCCAGCAGCACTACCGCAAAACAGTGTTCAATGTTTACCATTGCAGGAAACTTTCACTATGATCCAAATGTTTTTTAGTCTGACTTAGCCTAAAATGTTTCAAAATGATTGTCTTTATTACTTTTTAAAGAATTATTGCACTTAAGATTTTAATAGGTTGCACAGCCAGGGCAAGAGAGCTTCTGAAATCCATATGCTCTACCCTGGCAAGAAGACAAAGGTTAACTTATGTGAGGCCTCAAGCCTAGAACTGGGCTGGGTGGTTGGACTAGAAACTTTTGGAATAACAGAATCTGGAAGAGAACTGTAATGGTCATCTAATTCTGGGATTCTCTCCACACGGGATTCATATCAAGTTGTTCAGTTTTTCTGTGAACACCTCCAATTACCCAGGACATGTTTTGAGGCAAATCCCTCCTTTGTAGGCAGACCTCTGTATGGCTTTTCTTTGGTTGGCCAAAATTTGTCTCCTTGCAATTTCCAGTCATTGGTCCAAATCAGTTCTCTGTGATGCCAAATAAATTTAATTCTTTCATTTTATGGTCCTTCCTGTATTTTAACTTAGCTAGGCAGCCTATCCCACATAGTTGTTCCCTTCTTGCTAAACACCCAGGACCTTTAGCTGTTCCTTATACAACCTGCTTTGTAATCACCTCATCAAATTGCTCTCCCATCAATATATTCAATTTTATCAACATTTCTCTATAGAGTTGCCACTGGAGTTAAATTAGAACATGCTGACTTAGGGGCACCTGGGTGGCTTAGTCAGTTAAGTATCTGACCCTTTTTTGGCTCAGGTTAAGATCTCACTGTTCATGAGACTGAGCCCCATGTCAGGCTCCTCACTCACAGTGTGGGGCTTGCTTGGGATTCTCTGTCTCCCTCTCTCTGCCCCTCCACCACTTGAGCGTGCAAAATAAATAAACTCTCTCTTTGTCTCTTTGTCTCTTTGTCTCAAAATAAATAAACTTTTTTTTTAAAGAGCATATGACTTAGATTTTACCAATATAAAGAGGACCATCACCCCTCTTACTGTAGACACTATTTCCATTAATACAGTCCAAGATCTCATAGATTTTGTTCAATAGCCACAAAACACTATTTTTTTAAGTTTATTTATTTACTTTGAGAGAGAGAGAGAGAGAAAGCAGGGGAGGGGCAGAGAGAAGGAGAGATAGAATCTCATATAGGCTCCTTGCTGTCAGCGAGGAGTGTGACGTGGGGCTCGATCCCATGAACTGTGAGATCATGACCTGAGCTGAAATCAAGAGCCAGATGCTTAACTGATGGAGTCATCTAGGTGCCCCAGTCACAAAACACTATTAACTGGTACCAAGCTTATAGCAACAATGCCTCCAAACCTATGTCTTTTCATATACAGTGCTGTTGAGCTAGATCCTGATCATCTGTTCTTTGGGCAATTGTTTTTTTGCAGTAAAATATAGAATGTTCATTTATAGAGAAAAGAAAAAGAGAAGTATGTTTAGGGGAAACAACCAGGTCACACAGATTTAAAATATCCTAAGGTTCTGTGGGCGCCTGGGTGGCTCAGTCAGTTGAGCATCCCATTTGGGCTCAGGTCATGATCTCGTGGTTCGTGGATTCGAGTCACGCATCAGGCTTTGGGTTGACATCTTAGAGCCTGGAGGCTGCTTTGGATTCTGGGTCTCCCTCTTTCTCTACCCCTCTTTCACTCGTGCTCTGTCTCTGTCTCTCAAAAATAAGTAAACATTAAAAAGGTGTTTAAAAAAATAAAATATCTTAAGATTCTGGAAAATCTCAGGGCCTTAGTCCAGTGTCTACTACCAAGGGAAGCGGTATTGCCAAAGCTACAATTGTGGCCTTTTTTCTAACATAGTAATAATCTCTCTCCAGTTCTCAATTTTTAATTTTTTTAAATGTTTATTTATTTTTGAGAGAGAGAGAAAGACAGAGCACAAGTCAGGGAGGGGAAGAGAGAGGGGAAGACACAGAATCCAAAGCAGGCTCCAGGCTCTGAGCGGTCAGCAGAGCCCAACGCGGGCCTTGAACTCACAAACCTTGAGGTCATGACCTGAGCCAAAGTCGGACACCTAACCAACTAAGCCACCCAGGCACCCCTCTAGTTCTCAATTTTTAAATGTTAAGATAACTCTGTCTTCCTCACAGACTCTAACAATGATGTAACTAACGACTATGGGCCATTAGTGAGTAAGCCAGTGGCTTCTGGCCCTGACTTCCCCCAAGTACTATAGATCACTCTTCCTCTAGCCAGTGCTGGTAAAGAAAAGACTGGGAAGACAATCAGAGGCCTTAGTTCTAGGCATGGCTCTGCCATTAATCAGATGTGTGCCACTGAGAAATGTGGGATGACTGTTCATAATCTGCCATATAAATTTCTCCCCAGTTTTCCTATATCATTCTTTCTTTGTGACCACCTTTTTGCTTTGTTTTGACCTGTTTTCTGCTATTCAAATATGCTCCCTACTTAGGTAATGCTCCTTATTTAAAAGTTTTTCTTGGATCAAGAGATAAACGGCTAGAAAAATCAAACAAAACAAGCATCCCTTTCATCAGATGAGCCAAAAGGTACATGCCAGGAAAACACCAGACACCATTTACGTGGAAAGAGCTGGGCATTTTTAGGTAAGTACATTTTAACCTGTTTTAAGTCCTAAGCAAAAAAAAGTTATAATATACTTTCTTATTATATCTGTTCCTACAAATAGAAGATGTAACTTATCAAGGAAGGACTCTCTTTAAGGAACTTATATAAGAAAAGGAAGCAAAGGAATGTAGCTGGGTAGCTCAGATGAAGCAAAGGTATTTTTATTCTGGGAACCTTAAATATATTCCAGCGATTATTTAAATTAACCTTTGACTTCTAAAATCATCATTTATCACCCGAGCCCTAAAATTTTTCATTATGATTAGCTTTGTCTAGGAGTATATTTCATGATAAAAACAGAATACATGGCAGTAAAATAATTTATTATTAAAACTGATATGGATACCTTTTTAGGGAGTCAAAGTAATGCTCTCACACAAAACCCTGGTTTGGATTTGTGTGTATGCATCTGTAGAGAACATCAGTTGTAGGCTCCGATAAAGCAAGAGGCGTTCTAGTAACAGGACAGGTATTTTCCAGGAGAATGACCTATCAAATGATCAGAAATCTTCTGATCTGGAGGGAACGCCCTGCCTAGGTGGAGAATCATTGGTTAAGCTTCTTGGATGAGGTAGAAGTGAAGGAGGAGGAGATACAAAGCTATCGTAAGCATCCAGGCTACAACTTGTTAAAAAATAACTACGCAGTTTTCATTAGAAAATATATGCCCAGAAGGCATGCCTTCCTAGAAGGCACTTGTACCCAGAACCAAGGTGGTGACTTCCTGAGGGAACCGTGTGTCATGAGTAGCCAAGATCTTCTCAGAGAATGTCAACGGCTTTTCACATAAATGTTTCCTTGTAGTATCAGCTGCTGGGGACTACCCATTTCTTATAGGTTCTCCACCGAGATCACTCCTCAAACTTCACAACAGAGTAACATGTCCAAGTACAGATAAACAACAAACATATCCAGGAGAATTTCTAGTGTACCTGTTCCTCCATTGGTGTCTCTGCAGATGCTCTACAGAGTCTTTGCAAAGTATCAACAGCTGAGCTGATCAACTCTAGAGACCACTGGAATCCATTCAGCTTACACTTGACCACATCTAAAAAGAAATTAAAACCCTCAAAATTTAACTGCTTAAAATACATTTAAAGTGAGAGGCAAAGCTTTTTCAAGATTCCCCAATACACACTCACCAGTCACCTTGTCCCGCGTGCTCTTAGGAAGATGCTTTGCGATATGCCCAATAACACATAAAATATGTCCTAAGGTGTTTGGATTGGGATTCTGTTGACTAGGAAAAGGGCATAAGGAATATCAACATACAAAAAAACACTGCCACCAACAAAATACTCTCTGGATTGTTAACACTGGAGGAATGTAAGGAAGCATGGTTTAGGAGTCAAGTTGTAGGAGCATTAAGGCACTTAATTTACTTGGACAAAGGGTAAAACTGAAAGCTTAAAACTGATTCTTATTTTTCATGTTTGTTTTTATGCCAGAATTTAAAGACCTGCGTATACAAACAGTTAGGAAACGCCCACTTCCTTAAGGCATGAGCTTTGTTTCCAAGAATCTTTAGTGTCTATCAACAACTATGTTACAAGCATGCAAACCTGCTGATTTTCTCCCAGGACTCTATTATTTTGGTATAGTCCAGCTTGGGTGATGAGCAAGCAATCTTGGAAAGCAGCATCCAGGCTGGTGCAGAATGTTCTGTGCCAGTGTAGGATATCACATTGTTTATAAAACTCGATGAGAATTTCTCTTTCTTGGACCAGATATGAAAAGCCTTATTTAAATAGCGGCTGGAAAAAAGATGGGAAAGCAGAATTGTAACTGTAAATATATACAAAACTGTTCAGAACAGCCATCAGTGAAAGGTTATCAACTTCTGCTGCTCCAGGACTCCCCTGGCACATGGAAGTCAATGCAGAAGTTCCTGGCTAGTGACATATTTGATAACAAATCAGATATCTTTAAAATTTTTATTACACAGAATAAGATACATTTATTTCTCCCCTTCTAAAGTATTTCTTTTTAAAGCAAAGAATAAAATTTCGTAATTCACTTGAGACCCTTCTTATCCTCATTCCCTCCCAAATTTCTATACAAACATTAAGGAATAGGTTACCAATAACAAATACATCCACAGTTTATAGGGTTTTAGTGACAAAAAAAAAATGTAGACACTGTTGTTTTTTGAATGGAAGGAATGGATAGAAATGGCACCCTAGCATTTAAATATGGTGATATTAAACAAGCTAAACTTTGCCATGACCCACCAATACCATTCAGAAATACATATTTCAAACACTTTAAAAGTAAAACAAACAAACAAAAATACTTCTGGTATATTAAAGTGCTTGTGTTATGTCACTTGTTGTTTTAAGTAATTTATTTGACTTCCTCCCACAGCACTGGATGAGAAAACATTACCCATGGCACAAATGCAGTGTTATGTATCTAAGTAAAGTGAAAAATACACTTCTTTCCACAATTAATTTTCCTTAGACTGCTAGGAACACACATGTGATCACACATGCACACGCGCACACACGCTCACACACACCCCAAGACTTTCTCATTAAATGAAAAAAAGAAAAAAAGGAATTCTAAAAGCATCAGAAGGCAACTGTAACAAAATAAACACATCTATATACAATAAGCATGCCCATATAAATTGTTTTAATAAATTATCTATTGTTAAAAAATCTGTCTATAAACATCTAGAGTTTTACTGCAGGTAACTCATAACTCATATACGATTATGGTCCAAAAACAACACATGGAATCAGTAAATATTTTAAAATTTATTAAAAAGAATCACACAAAATATTAAGTAATGTTTACTATAAGACATGAATAGAATGGGGAAAAATTCTCTAACTTCCAGTTGAAACCTCAAATTTGGCTCTTAGGACAACTCACACCTTTCCACATGAGTTGAACAGTTTCCAAAGCCCCCCTCATTTAGCTTACCCTTCAATTAGCCCCGTTGTTGATCATAAGCCACTCCCTACCAAGTCAGAATGTTTTCAATAGAGAGCAACCTGTGTCTTTTGTACAGCACCACTGACCTCTATCCTAGTATCAAAATCAATCCACTATCTTTAGTCTCCATTTTCCATCACCTCTACTAGACATTATTGACCATTCTCTCTGCCCTTGTACTCTGGTCTACTTATTGGATCTCTGTTCTTTTCCCTTCACTAGTTCCTTTTTTCAAATCAGTCTTATGGCTGATTTTGAAAAGTTCTATTCTTAGTCCTCTTCTCTTATCTACAACTGAACGCTGGGTGATCTCATCCATTACCAAAAGCTCTCCACTCAGACATGTCAAAGCATTGCAAGCACACATTTAAATTGGGCTCCATCTCCTGCCTCTGCTTTCCATACCTCAGTCAACAGTAATCCCATTGACCAGTTATTTTGGATAGCCTCATGGAGCCTTCAGGCCTCTAAACCTTTGCATTGTTATTTTCTGTCTGGAAACTCTATTATGGCTGCCTGGTTAATTTCTATTTATTCCACTTCTGGGAATAATTCACCTCTTGCCACCATTAATAGCTAAAACAAGGAAAAAGATTAACAAACAAAAACAAAGACAAAAAAACTACCAAACTGCTCTATGCCCTCCCTCTTTCCTCCTAAAAGTCTACCAAAACTGTGAATTTATTTTGTTTCTTTCCACTAGACTGTGAGCAACCTGAGTAGAGGAAGTACACTGATCTCTTTCAACCCTCAAATCAAACCTTTACCACCTCTGTACTTCCCCTTGTTAAACATTTTTAAATATACCCCATTCTCTTCATGCCCACTGCCTTATCCTTGATGCAGGCCCTCATCACCTTTAACTTAAATCACTTCAGTGGTAGCCTGTTTTCTTAGATTCTAGTCAGCTCCTGGTCACCCAACATAAGCACCTTTGCTACCCTTCCTGTGAAACTGAATAGAGGAAACCTCATTGGCAGTGGAGCTGGGAGGCCAGCATGGCGAGCTCTCATGCCTACCACTGGTCATCAACTGCAAACCCAACAGGAAGGGATAGGACTCCCATACCCAAGAGGAACAAACAAGCTGCCCTTTACTACTCCAGCAAGAGGAAGGATTTCTTCTTGCCCAGCAACAGCCCAGCCAATGAGAGTCTGTCACAACTCTGCCATTGAGAAACCATCGCCACCTTGAACTCTCTTTCTTTCAATGGACTTTTCTTCAAAGCAGCCCCTCCCAACTTTCTCTTTTTTAAGAACAGTTCTTTCCTTTGATTTCCAGATTTTCTTGTGGTTTGTCACAGTGTGCTTGTTTCCAATTGCAATTCTGTGCTACTTCCATATAAACCCATTTTGCTGGTAAAATAACTGGGTGTTTTATTTTCAAGATTTGCACTTCCTAAAACATAAAACCCTGTATTACCCATCCACTTCATATTCACCAGCAGCCTCCCCCTGCCCACTCTGTTTTCTCTAAAGTCAAACTTCTCAGAATGCTATGTTACAACTCTGCAGTATCTGGGCTCTGCTTAACTTCTCCAGTTTCATTTTATATCCAGGCAGCCCCATTTCCCCAGCAGTGAAATCCTCTGGCTCCTGAACAGTGAACACTGTTTATGCTTCTATGGCTTTGCACCAGCTGTTTCTTTTACATGGACATACCCTTTTGCCCCCTTATGAAACTTCAAGATTCAAATTCAAAATTCATCTGTTCTGTGAAGTCTCTTTTCCTGAACATTCGCTGATGTTTCTAGTTACTTTCTGTTTATCAAAGAACAAGTCACAAATTTTGTTTACAAATGTTTATAGAACTCTATTCTGCTAGCCCTCACATTTCTTTTTTTTAAATTTTTTTTTTTTTTCAACGTTTATTTATTTTTGGGACAGAGAGAGACAGAGCATGAACGGGGGAGGGGCAGAGAGAGAGGGAGACACAGAATCGGAAACAGGCTCCAGGCTCTGAGCCATCAGCCCAGAGCCTGACGCGGGGCTCGAACCCACGGACCGCGAGATCGTGACCTGGCTGAAGTCGGACGCTTAACCGACTGCGCCACCCAGGCGCCCCTAGCCCTCACATTTCTTAATACTCCTTTTTGAAAAATTCATTCCCAAGTTCAGTGGCTCTCATACTTTTTCATTTATGGGTGCTTTTTTTTTCTTTTTCTGGGCACTTTTGAACTCAAAACCTACAGACCACCTTGAAGAGCTTTGGTTTTGTGGGCCATCATATCTATCAATATTTGTTGTGCCAAAATTAAAACTGAGAAATTTAAAAATATTTATCTATTAATCTAAAAATAATAATAAGCCAATTACATGTTAACATAGATGCACTGCTTTACAAAAAAAAGTTAACAATCTTTCTCAAAACAAAATAAACTTGGTGAAAAGAGTGTCATTGCTCTATACTTTCGTAAATCTATTTAAAGTCTGGCTTAAATAGAAGACAGGTGGATTACTGTAACTGCTTCTGCATTCAATTTGCTTCAATATCATCATACGGTTCTGGAAAACTGTACTGTACTTCTGTGAAAGAATAAAAGTGAAAAATGGCATATATCACCTTAATATTATGATCAAAACAGTCTGAGCTCATGAATCCATCCATTACACTTTGAGAATTTGTACCATAGCTCATTTTCTATAATGGCTATTCCAAAACTTCTTTGCACTTAAGACCCTAATTCTATACTCTCCTTCCTAACTTTGGGCAAATATTTTTTTTTTCCTTGTGTTAAAATAGATAATAGAGTTTTTACCATTTTAACCATTTTCAGGTGTACAGTTCAGTGGTGTTAAGCACATTCACACTGTTGTGCAATTATCCATCTCCAGAACTCTGTTATCACCTCATACTGAAACTCTGTACCCATTTAACAGTAATTCCCCATTGCCTTCTCCACAGCCCCTGATAAGCACCTTTCTACTTTTTGTCTTTAAGCATTTGACTATTCTATATATCTCAAATAAGTGGAATCATCATTAATTGTCCTTTTGTATTAGGCCCATTTCACTCAGCATGTTTTAAAGGTTCATCCAGAGTGTAGCATGCATCAGCATTGTTACTTTTTTAGGCTGAAAAATATCCTGTTGTATGCATATACCACATTTTGTTTGTCCTTTCACTCATCCATGGACAGCTGGGGTATTTCCACCTTTCTGGCTACTGTGTACAATGCTCTGACACTGCTGTACTGAGTAAATATTCTATCACTGTACTGAGAAGAGAAGGCGAGGAAGCTCTAGCGTTCATATGATTTCCTCCTTTGTACTTTTCTTCTTGTATTTTTTTTTCAATGTTTATTTTTGAGAGAGGGACAGAGTGCAAGCGGGGGAGGGGCAGAGAGAGGGACACAGAATCTGAAGCAGGCTCCAGGCTCCCAGCTGTCAGCTCAGAGCCCGATGTGGGGCTCTGACTCACAAACTGTGGGATCATGACCTGAGCTGAGTCGGACACTCAACTGACTGAGCCACCCAGGTGCTCCCCTTCCTGTATTTTTTTGTTTCCTTTTATTTCTGAAGTTCTCTCCTTCTACCTTATAAAGTGAGTCCTTTCATATAATATTGTTCTTTTTCAGAAACTCCACTAAGTATTCCTTTCATTCATCCTCAGTATTTTCTATCTCCCCCTTTCCTTCTGACTTCAAATATATATAAGCACATTCCCTTATGTGAAAATAAAAAACAAGGCCTGTGAAGGAAACTATGGCACATCTTAATTGCAGGTAAGCTAAAGACCTAAACATAAAAGGAAGAAAGAAAAAAACAAACAAACTTCTAGATTATATGGGAGAATATATGACCCTGAGGTAGGAAAAGAACTTCTCTAAAAAATATATTAACCATAAGGAAAACCACTGACAAAATGAACTCATCAAAAGATACCATCAGGAGAGTAAAAAGGCAAATCATGAGGTAGAAAAGGACATTTGCAATACATATAACAATGGCTTGTCTACAGAATATGTAGTGAACACTTTCAGATGAACAAGCAAAAGAGTGACAGTCTAAAAGGAAGGCCAGTGGGGCACCTGGGTGGCTCAGTCAGTTAAGCGTCTGACTTCAGCTCAGGTCATGATCTCACAGTCCGTGAGTTCGAGCCCCATGTCAGGCTCTGTGCTGCCAGCTCAGAGCCTGGAGCCTGCTTCTGATTCTGTGTCTCCCTCTCTCTCTGCCCCTCCCCTGCTCATGCTCTGTCTCAAAAATAAATAAAAACATTAAAAAAATAAAAATAAAAAAATAAAAGGAAGGCTAGAGACCTGAGTAGGTAATTCATAAATGTGAACATTATAAATCCCACACCTACTAGAATGCAGTGTAAATTGGTATGAACCCTCTGGAAAACTTCCTCGCAGTATCCATTAGAGGTGCCTAAAAATGTACTTAACAACACTGTTCCTGGGTATATACCCAACAGAAATGCAGGTACCTGTGTATCAACAGATGTGTACAGGAATATCCATAGCAGCATTATATATAATATTTTAAAAATTGAAACAACTCAATTATCTATCAACAGAATGGATAATTATGTTTTATTCATAAAATCATACACACACACACACAACTGCAATGAAAGTGAATATGCTATAGCTACACACGATAACGTGAATGAGCCTTCTATTGCTTTGAGTATTAGGAGTCAGATACACAAAGAATATATACCACATAATTCCATTTATATAAAGTTGTAGAACATAGGAAACTAATCACAGCAGTGGTTACCTTTGACAAGGGAAGGACAGTGATGGGAAGGAGTGTGAGGGTATTACTTGGGCTTAGCAATGTTCTATTTCTTGACCTGGGAGGTAGTTACATGGGTATATTTTCTTTTTTATACTTACTGACCTATGTACTGACCTACTATACTTTTCTATGCATGTTATATTCCAGTATAAAAGTTTTATAAAAATAAATGAAATAAACCTCCCAACAGCATCTCATGAGCTATATATATAGTAGGCCTCTCCTGCTTTTTTGTGAAGAATGGCTACTACTTTTTATGCTGAATTTTAATATGTTGGGGTTGCTTACTGAGATGTCCCTAAGAAAATCAAAAAAGTAAGTGATTCTATTGCTAGCTAAATTCTCCTCTCTTCTAAGAATTTCAGCCAAGCATATAGCTGGTACTGAGAAAATATTTAATGAATGAATATGCTTTCAGTCATAGTGTTTTAATACAAAAAGGGACCTGAAGAGATCATGTAATCCAACTGGCTGCTCTTACAAATGCGAAAACCAACGTTCAGAGAGATTAGGTGATTTTTGCCAGGACCACAGAACAGTATTGTATGATCAAAAAAATCTATTATGTTTCTATTGTATGATAATTCCTCCATAACTACATGTAAATAAATAGGAAAGTGTTTCCTACATGATAAAAAAAAGGAAAAAAATAGTCAAACTGATTGTAAGATTACTGCAATATAGATTAAAATACACCGTTATAGGTGCTAACTCCTCATTACAGTGTTCACTGTATAGTGTACACTTGGCAAATGTTATCTAACGGGAAAGAATACTGCAGTGGTATTAAGTCAACTAATCCAATAAAATGTCAGAAGTTTAATTTCTAAGAACTAAGAAGTCATCTTTCATAAAAACTAGTATTATGGAAAGTTAAAATTAATACATCATATCCATCAGTGCTTTCTGCTATATATTAAGACATCAATTAAAACTAAAATCACTCAGAGAAAAGCAAAGGAGGAGATCAAAGTCTTCACAGAAAATTGTCCTCATGAAAATGCTAGATTTGAATTGGGTCAAAAAAAAAAAAAAAGACCAAAATTGAGTCTTCACATATATTAAGTAATTTGGAAAGCTGATTTGCCAAGATCAATACAGAAATATTTTTAAAAAAATGTTTATTTTTTTGAGAGAGGGTCAGAGAGCGTGCACATGTGCAAGAGGAGGAAGGGCAGACAGAGGGAGAGAATCCTAAGCAGGCTCTGCACTGTCAGCACAGAATCCTATGCAGGGCTCAATCCCATGACCATGAGATCATGACCTGAGCCAAAATTAAGAGTCATATACTAAACTCACTGAGCCACCCAGGTACCCCTAATACAGAAATTTTAATAACAACTTTTATGGCTTTCTATAAGGAAAACAAATCACACAATTAACATACCTCAGTTCCTGGTTTTCTGTACTAAGGAGAGTAAGAAGTGCCCAAGCCAGTACCTGGCTGTTGTCTCCAGTATGGAATTTATTATAATGCTTAATGTTCTGCAACAGGAGCTGGTCAAGGCATTCCAGAGCCTTTTCCTGCACAGTGCTCTCACAGTCCATCACAGCTGGAATGATCCCTGTTAGCCAGGCTTTCTGTATCTGGACACATCCAGGCTGGGCCTTAGGAATTAAACATCATGAAATCATAAAGAAGTCTGATGCTAGCAGAAGTCTAAACATGTATCAGTGAGGCTGTGGTCAATGTTTTGAGACTTGTGTGTGGTCACACACACAAGTACAAATAAACAAGTGAAAAAAAAAATCAACACTTGAAATATATATTAAAACAAAGTTCAATCTCCAGTTACTGTATATCAGTGAATACTGAAATTTTAAACTTAGACAGTCATTACTGTATTATTACAGTAAATCAGCACTTTTTGGTAATTAAATTATTTTTATTAATATTTATTTATTTTTGAGAGAGACAGAGTGAGTGAGCAAGAGCCAGGGAGGGGCAGAGAGGAAAGGAGACACAGAATCCGAAGCAGGCTCCAGGCTCCGAGCTGTTATCACAGAGCCGGACGCAGGGCTCAAACTCATTAACAGTGAGACCATGACCCGAGCCAAAGTCAGACGCTGAACCAACTGAGCCACCCAGGTGCCCTGATAATTTAAGATCAAGAGCAAATAAAAAATATTTATCCCAAAGAGAAATTAAAATAGATGCTGACAGAGGAAGTCAAAGTATGCACTGTTTAATGCTTTCTATCACAAAATAAAGAAATAAACAGGCTTTAAAAATTCTTCAAAAGCTCATTATTTGGCAGACGTAAATTATATATTGGATTAGTGGATCTGCTATTTTGACAGTATCATCTAATAGGTTTTAATGTTCAAAAATTAATCTAGGCCTCTGGCCTAACCAAATCTATTTTACCACTCATATTTCTATGTGAGATTTAAGCTGAAGTCAAGAAAAGGCTAATCACTAGCATTCTCTAGCATGAGTCCATAATTATATCAACATGAGACATAATCATATGTAATTGAAACATACCTCTTCTCTTCCACTGTATAGTCCTTCAGTAGACCTGGTAGAATTTCCAATAGTCAATTTAATATTTTGCAAGAGGCAATTATTAGGCTGAATTATTTATTTATTTACTTATTTATTTACTTATTTATTTAGTGTGTGTGTGTGTGTGTGTGTGAGAGAGAGAGAGAGAGAGAGAGAGAGAGAGAGAAAGAGAGAAAGTTATACATGTGTGAGAAGGAGGAGGGGTGAACAGGGGGCAGTGTAGAGGGAGAGGGAGAGAGAAACTTAAGCAAGCTCCACTGGGCATGGAGTCTAGACACAGGGCTCGAACTCATGACCCTGAGATCATGACCTGAGCCAAAATCAAGAATCGGGCACTTAACCAACTGAGCCCCCCAGGCACCCTGTATGCTGAATTATTTTTAATGTAAAAACACACTGTCTCTCACCATGAGAAGTTCAGTAAGAGACTGTAAGGCCTGCTTTCGGACAGACACTGCAGGGTCCCGACACTGGTCCTGCAGAAGCAATAGCTCTTCTTTCATACCCAAGATGTCACAGTGTTTCAAAATACTCACTAATACCTAGAAGAAGCATATGTAACATGAATTATGTATAGAAAAAAGACTTATGTATAGAAAAAAGACACACTGTAGACAAAAATAAGACTTAAGTCTGTGGTTCTTAACATTTCTGAGGTACAGATCCATCCCTCCACCCAGTAACATCCCACCTTTTCAGAATCTGATGAAAGCTCAGGCCTCTCTCTGGAGAAAGTCTGACATACATTTATATAAACAAGTATTTACAAACCATTTTGGGGCTTACATGCACCCTATTAAAATTCATTCATGGTCCCCAGATTAAGAATCCCTATTCTAAAATGAGAAATTAAGAATATAAATATGTAATTCTTTTAAAAATTTTTGTATTAAAAAAAATGTTTTAATGTTTATTTTTGAGAGAGAGAGAGAGAGAGAGAGACAGAGCACAAGTGTGGAAGGGCCATAGAGAGAGAGGGAAACACAGAAACCGAAACAGGCTCCAGGCTCTGACCTGTCAGCACAGAGCCTGTCCCAGGGCCTGAACTCACAAACCGCAAGATCACGACCTGAACTAGTCGGATGCTTAACCAACTGAGCCATCCAGGTGCCCCAAAATATGCAATTCTTAAAGTCAACAACCCAGCAGGAATTTTAAAAACAGATAAACCTTTTAGTTCATCTCTGTAATTTATACATACAATGGGATCAAAATGAACAAATGTTAGGTGAAAAACAAGTTAAATAATGAGCATGGCAAAATTTTTATGAAATATTTCCAGATTTTTAGTGCTTGAAAAAAGAGCACATTCAAGAATACCTAGAAAAACTCACACCTGGAGTGCAGACTTCCGGACATTGGTCTTCTCATCCCTGATTCTCTTTTTCAGCATTCCCATGACACATCTCACTGTTGAGGAAATGCCAAAGAATCATTATACAGTCTGAGAAAAACTATATTTATAGCATCTAACATCTCACCACACAGTTCTGAGAAAATACTCTAAAAAACTGACTAATTAGCTTGTTTTAAATCCTGAGAAATCTGAGTATGAAATAATGTAGAAAAAAAAAAGAAAAGTCAAATAATTAGGTATTCAATAATGCAATAGGGCACAGTATTATAATTTTAAAAGGGCACAAAGTCTGAAATATTAAAAATTCAGTTTTAAATCCTGGCTCTTACATCTAAAATTCTGAATGAATTATTTGGCTCTTCTATTTTATTTAGCTACAAAAAAGGAATATCCAAATCATAATTTTTTTTTTAAGACTAAAGATAAATAGCAGCTTTAAAACTTTTTTTTTTAATCTTTATTTATTTTTGAGAGAGAAACTGTGAGCAGAGAGGAACAGAGAGAAAGGGAGACACAGAATCCGAAGCAGTCTCCAGGCTCTGAGCTGTCAGCACAGAGACCAACACGGGGCTCAAACTCACGAACTGTGAGATCATGACATACATGAGCCCAAGTCGGACGCTCAACCAACTGAGCCACCCAGGTGCCCCTAAAACTTTTTGACCACAGGCCCCTTTACACTACTAAAAAATCACTGAAGACTTCTAAGGGCTTTTTTGGTAAAAATCTCCAGTAAAGAGATTTAATAGTTCATTTTAAAAAAGGAAGATATGCCACTATGCACAGTATATTTTTAAATAAAAAATAACTATATTTCCCCTCCAAAAAAAATTTAGTGAAAATAATAGCACTGTTTTACATCTTTGCAAACTCTTTAATGTCTGGCTAAATAAAAAACATCTAGATTCTCATCTCTACTTCAAAATCATAATGCTGAAGAGTACAAGTCTTGATATTATTATGAAAAAAAATATTAACTTCAAGGACCTGCTAAAGGATATTATGCTATTATTATGAAAACAATATTAATTTGAAGGATTGGCTGAGAGAAGCTAAGGGATCCCAAACTACTTGGAGAGCCGCTGATGTATAAGGAAGTATGTTACAAAACGAAATAATGGGAAATAGAAAACGCCAATGAAATCAAAAGTAGGTTCCTTGAAAAAGATAAACAAAATCAACAAACTTTTAGCTAGACTAATTAAGAAAAAAAATAGAAGATTCAAATTGCTAAAATCAGGAAAGAATGAGGAAACATTACTGCTGCCATTACAGAAATAAAAAGGATTTGCAAAGAAATACTATGAAAAATTTTGTTATATTAAGTAATCTGGATGAAATGAACAAATTTCTACAAAGATAAAAACTATGGACATTGACTCAAGAAGAAATAGTCTGAATATACCCATAACAAGTAAAGAGATTGAATTGGAAATCGAAAACCTTCTCACACATGTACAGAAGTCCAGGACCAGATGGCTTTACTGGAGAATTCTACCAAATGTTAAAACAAATATGAGCACCAATTCTTCATAAACACTTAAAAAAACGGTAGAAAACACTTCCTACCTCATTCTATTAAGCCGGTATTACCCTGAGAGCAAAACCAGATAAATACATGTCAAGAAAAGTAAATGATAGACCAAAATCTCCTGCAAATACACACATGATATCTTCAACAAAATATCAACAAATCAAATCTAGCAAGATGCAAAAAGGATTATATACCATGCTTGGGATTTATACCAGGAATGAAATCTTGGCTCAACATATGAAAATCAATGTAATAAAAAACCACAGCAATATAATAAAGGACAAAGACCGCATGATTTTCTCCACAGATGAGGAAAATGCATTTGTAAAACCCAACACCATTCCATAATAAAAACACTCAACAAACTCAGAAGAGAAGGAAACTCTGTCACACTGATAAAAGCCATTCTGAAAAAAACTCACAGCTAACATCACACTCAATGGTGGAAGACTGAAAGCTAAGTACAGAAGAAAGACGAGGATGTCTGCTCTCCCCAATTCTTTTCAACATTGTACAGAGGTCCTTGCCAGGGAAAGTAGGCAAGGAAAAGACAGAAAAGACATCCAGATGGAAAAGAAAGAAAAAAAACTCTGTTCACAGATGGCATGAGCTTATATACAGAAAATCCTAAGGAATCCACACACACACAATTAGAGCTAGTAACAGATTTAGCAAGGTTGCAAGACACGAGATCAAATCATCAAACATCAGTTGTAAAAACTAGCAATGAACAATTAGAAAATGAAACTAAGAAACCAATGTAACTTATTATAACATCAAAAAGAATAAAATTTTAGGAACACGCTTAAAGAGCAAGAATTGTACAATGAAAACTGAAAAACATCAGTGAAACAAATTAAAGAAAATCTAAATATAGAGAAAGGCATCCCATGTTCATGGACAAAAGGGCTTAATATTGTTAAGATGGCAATACTCCCCAAAGTGATCTACAGATCAATCCTTACCAAAATCCAAGCTGTTTTTTTTTTCCCTTTCAGAAACTGACAGGTGATCCTAAAATTCATATGGAAATATAAGAAAAACAGAATAGCCAAGTCAATCTAGAAAAACAAGAACAAGAATGCAGAGCCTACACTTCCTGATTTCAAAATTAGTATAAAGTACCAGTAATCAACACAGTGCGGTACTGCCATAAAGAAAGACAATGGAATGTCAGTGGAAGAGAACTTAAAGTACATAAGCTCATGTGTCTATGGTCAACTGATTTTTGACAAGGGTGACAAGAGCATTCAAAGGAGAAAAAAGTCTTTTAAACAAATGGTGCTACATCAAACTGGATATTCACATGCAAAAGATGGACCCCCACATCCCATTATATGCAAAATTTAACTAAAAATTGATCAAAGAGCAAAACATAACAGCTAAAATTACCAAACTCTGAAAACATAAATGTAAATCTTTGTGATAAATTAGGCAGTGATTTCTTAGCTATGACACCAAAAGCACAAACCAGAAAAAAAAAAAAAAAATTGGATAGCTAGATTTCATGAAGGCTAAAATGTTTCATGCCTCAAAGAACACTATCAAGAAAGTGAAAATTTAACCCTCAGAATGAGAAAAAAAAGATATTTGCAAATCATATATCTAATAAGGAATTTGGACCCAAAATATATAAAGAACCCTTTCAACTCAAAAATATAGACAAATAATCCATTTTAAAAAATGGGCAAAGAACTTCTCCAAACAAGACATATAAATGGTCAATAAACACATGAAAATTTGCTTAACATCATGAGTCATTAGGAAAATGTAAATCAAAACCACAGTGAGAGACATACTTCACATCCACTAGGATGGCTACAATAAATAGACATGACAAGTGCTGGTAAGGATGTGGAGAAATAAGATTTATTACACATGCTAGTGGGATTGAAACATGATGTGACCACTCCGGAAAACAGTTTGGCAGTTCCTCAAAATGATAAAGGTAGAGTTAGCACATGACCCAGCAGCAGTTCCACTCCTAGGTACACACCCAAAAGGAATGAATATTTACATACAAAACTTGCACAGGAATGTTGATAGCACCATCATTCATAATCGCCAAAAGATGGAAACAACCCAAGTCCATCAACTGATAAACGAACCTTGAAAATGTTCTGCTAAGAAGACATCCACAAAAAAAAAAAACATATTGTATGCTTCCATTTATGGAATGTCAAAAACAGGCAAATTGATAGAGACAGAAAGCTAATTCGTGATTGGCAAAGGCTGGAGGAGGGGGAGAATGGGGAGTAAATGCTAATGAGTACAGGGTTTCTTTTTGGCAAAGGAAATATTCTGAAAATTGATCAATTTTGTGAATACACTAAAAACCATTAAATCATAAACTTTATTTAAATGGTGTTTATGGTATGTGAATTACATCTCAAAAACAAAACAAAAGACCCACCACAAAGAAAGCACTTAGCACTTAAGACTGGAGTCAACACATTCAACATTTTTCCAGAATACTTTTTTTTATATTTTAGAAACTCGGATAATATATAAATTGAATTACTGCTCATAATTTGAATAACACATGCTAATATCTAGCCATATAAATCCAATTCCATGCTAATCTTTCAGGCCAAAATAAATAATTATCCTCATGATACTTTACAGATTGACGTCAGTACTTATCTCACACCTTACTATTGTATATATATATAAAAATATATAAAATCTGTATACATGTATATTTATTATTCCCATTGCTCCCCAACAGATAGAACTATGTTTTATTTATTTTTTTTTTAATTTTTTTTTTCAACGTTTATTTATTTTTGGGACAGAGAGAGACAGAGCATGAACGGGGGAGGGGCAGAGAGAGAGGGAGACACAGAATCGGAAACAGGCTCCAGGCTCTGAGCCATCAGCCCAGAGCCCGATGCGGGGCTCAAACTCACGGACCGCGAGATCGTGACCTGGCTGAAGTCGGACGCTTAACCGACTGCGCCACCCAGGCGCCCCGAACTATGTTTTATTAAAGTCAATATCTACAATGCCTAGCACAGATTAGAAGGGACCAAATAAATGTTAACAGAATAAATTAATCTAATTATATAATTAAACCTCTATACACGTTTTCTCACTTATCTATCTTGAAAAACCACTTCTCTTAACATTATTTTCATAGACTGACAACACCCCTCTGTGAAAGGTGGAGAAAGTGTCAGATTCAGAAAGTGACAATTAGGGTGCTTTGCTGACTTCCATGTCTTAGTCAAGCAGCTATTTAGCAACAGAATTGATACAAGAACTCAGACTGCCTCTCCTTTCTAGTGTGTTCCCCACTATTTCATGCTATGTCATTTCACAGATGAATAAGGAGCCCAGAGAAGTAAAGTGACTTTCTCAAGACCACACAGCTAGACAGAAACAGAATCTAGGAGTAGGCTCCAGGTCTACCTACTATCTAGTCCATATTTGTTTTTTTCCCTCCTGAATCACATTAACACTTAAGCTATCCAGATTACTCGGGGTTCAGTAAGTCAATGAAGGAGATCAGGCATCCCTCGTATTCAGAATCCTGTGCTGGAGTCCATGGGAGAGAGGACCCCCACAACCATTCCATGTAGTAAATTTGGTTCATACTATTAATGAAGAGAAATTATAATCTAAATTCTGAATTGTCATTTTCAGTGGGAGCTTGGATTTACAGTTCCCTATCATATATTAAAGGTGAACTCTGGGTTGCCTTAATCAGAGTCAAGATGACATAGTGAAAAAAGTACAAGAAATTAAAAACAGGAACAAGACTGGGTAGAATAATATTCTTCATCTTTTCCCTTTTTTTTGTGATGACTTTTCTACAAACACAAATTTAATCTGTGCTGTGCTTTCTCTAGTAGCTGGTCCCTTTTTGGTCAGCAATCCCAAGAGTTCACAATTGTCTTTAATAAATAAAATATTTGCTAATATTCTCTTAAGTATTACAGAAATACTGAGGTTCAGTACGTCCTAAGTGGAACATAGCTTGTTCTTTACCTTAAGATGAAACAGAATGCAAGGATATCAATTAAAGATATAATAAAATAAAAATTATTCCATTCTTAAGAAGAAAGAAAGATGTCCCAATTCTTCAGGATAAATTAGAAAAAAATTCTAAGTTTTTTAGACTCTACTTACAGTTGTTGAAATCCAACAGTTATCATTCATTCATCTGACAGTGATAAAATCTGACATACCCCCAGATCCATCAGTTTCACCACTGTTGTCTATACTGATCACTCCTGAGCCTCCAGAAGGGTTAAGTGTTTGCCTCTGATAGGGAAAAGCTTAAAAATAATAAATTTTAAAAAAGGCTCAGTCATTGAGGTAAGAAATTGTTATACCTCTTAATAATATAAGCCTGACATATTACACATTTAAATTACATATTACTGAAATGAATTTCGATTTCCTTGAAAAAGAAAAAAAGTTCAATATTAAAATAGGTAAATATGGAGACAGAAAAAAGCATGTCAAATACCCAGCAAGTCCTTTAAATAAAAAGACAATTATTCAATATTGGAAAATATATTGACCCATTACCTGCTGAATTTCTCAGTAAGGTACCAGGGTGGCTGTCTGCTCTTGAAACTGCAGGACCTAAAAATAAGCAGACACATAAGAGGGAAAAATGGCATAGTATCATAATCCCCAAGTAAATATTCAAAGTAATCAAAATCAAGATAATTAGGCCTAAACACAAGACAGATTCCAAACTGCTGACAAGTAATAATGTTCTCCTCTGTATGCATTTGAAATGGATACTAGGCACAATACAGCCATTACCCAACAATGCAAAGTAGTGTATAGGCAGCCAACAATCTCACCTCTAAAACATGAATATCTAAAATACTTTAAAAGACCTCTCAAATGTATCAGGCTTGTCTACAGGCATACATTGTTTTATCACACTTCCCTTTATTGTGCTTCACAGAAACTACACTTAAATTGAGAGTCTGTGGTAACCATACATCATACAAGTCTATGGGTGCCATTTTTCCAACAGTATTTGCTTACTTTGTGTCTGTGCCATGTTTTGGTAATTCTCACAATATTTAAAACTTTTTCATATTTATGGTGATCTGTGATTAGTGATCTTCGACTTTACTATTATAATTGTTTTCAGGTACCATGAACCATACCCATACAACACAGCAAACTTAATACATGGTGTATGTGTTCTGACTGCAGATGTGAAAATATCAAGAGAAACAGAATCAGAAGTGGAGCTCAAAGATGTGACTGTGTTGCTGCCATCTCATGATAAAACTTGGAACAGATGAACAGCTCCTTCCTACAGACAAGCAAAGAAAGAGGTTTCTTGAGATGGGATCTACTCCTGGTGAAAGAGCTTTGACAACAAAGGATTTAGAATATCACATAAACTTAGTAGGTAAAGCAGCAGCAGGGTTTGAGAGGATGGACTCCAATTTTGGAAGAAGTTCTACTGTGGCTAAAAGCACTACATGCTACAGACAAATCATTTGCGAAGAGTCAATTGATGAGGCAAACTTCACTGTCTTACTTTATTTTTTTTTAATTTTTTTTTTCAACGTTTATTTATTTTTGGGACAGAGAGAGACAGAGCATGAACGGGCGAGGGGCAGAGAGAGAGGGAGACACAGAATCGGAAACAGGCTCCAGGCTCTGAGCCATCAGCCCAGAGCCCGACGCAGAGCTCGAACTCATGGACCGTGAGATCGTGACCTGGTTGAAGTCGGACGCTTAACCGACTGCGCCACCCAGGCGCCCCATTCACTGTCTTACTTTAAAAAATTGCCAAAGCCAGCCACCCTTCAGCAACCACCAACACAGAGGCAAGACCCTCCACCAGCAAAGAGATTACAACTTGTTAAAAGCTCACATGATGGTTAGCATTTTTAGCAATAAAGGTTTTTTAGGTTTTTTTAGATTTTATTTTTAAGTAATCTCTCCACCCAATGTGGGGCTCGAACTTACAATCCCAAGATCAAGAGTCACGTGCTCTAGCAACTGAGCCAGCCAGGTGCCCTAACAATAAAGTACTTTTAAATTATGGTATGTACTTTTTTAAGGCATAATGCTAGTACCACTTAATAGACAACAGTGTAGTGTAAACATAGCTTTTGTATGCACTGGGAAACCAAAAAATTCATTTGACTTGCTTTATTGCAATGTACACTTCATTGTGGGTGGCCTGAAACCAAACTCAGAGTATCTCCAAGGTATGACTATGTTTAAAAAGTTATTCACATAAAATATATTGATACAGGTTTATGAGGTTAATAGTATATCATATTGTATCTATTACTTTTGCAACAACAAAGAATGATTCCCTTACAGTCCAGTTTCTCCACAAGCACAAGACAGGCTCCCTGTCACAACTGTCACCACACTTACTGTTAATCAGAAATTCCAGGATGCTCTCTGATGCAGTGGTAACAGACACCTCCAGGCAGTGTGCAAAACTGGACAGTGCCTTGCTGCGGACAGTTGGTGCTTTGTCTACACAACGGTCAAATATAATTTCCTGCACCAAGAACTTATGCTTTATGATCTTCTGATGCTCCAAGGAGAGAGTGTTATCTACCGCTCTTTCAGGCAGTTCCAACAGAGCTAAGACAACATCCAGAGTAAAAACCCTGTGTGGGATCTGATAAAACAAAATCATAAAAATCTCCATCAGACAGGAATAAATACCAAAGGATTCCTTGCATATTCAGATCTGGCTGTCAGGAGGTTGTTGAGTCAGGAACCAAGATTTTATGCAGACGTATCTCCTACCTTGGAACTTCGTGAATATCTGTAAAGCCAAGCAATGAATGTAGCATATTCCCTACTGGGAAGTTTGCTGAGCAGCTGGACCAGGGACTGGGCTGCATAGGTCCGGTACTCTGATTTGTCAATCACCTGAAACATAAACAGTGAGAGGCCATTCAGCCAATATCTACCTGTAGAACAACTGAGACACATGTTGTGACATAAGTGGAAAATTAGTGAATGTAACTATTTGGTGAATCTTTAAATGTTATAGGAATTACTAACAAATTTTAGGTTTTGGACACCTTTGAAAACTAACCTATAGGAAATTGATGAGCCCTCTCCTCAGGAATGCAAATTTAGCACATAATTTCAGAGAGTTTATGGACCTCCTACAATGTACTGGGTTCAAGGTAAGAATCCTCTGTCTAAACTGCTATAGAAATTTAAGGGATAATCATAAAAATTTGAACATTGGATATTTGATGATATTAAGAAATTATTATATATTTTCTTTGGTGTGTGGTGTATTTTGTGGTTATGTTTTTAAAGAGTTCTTACCCTTTAGAGACACATAGGAAATATTTAAGTTATCAATGGTTATGATAGAATTTGCTTCAAAAAAAACCCCCTAGAGTTCATACGTTTTGGGGAAGTTATACCTTATAGGTGTATTAATGCCATAAAATTGTTGAATATGGGTACACATCACTCTATTCTATTTATATGTGTGAAATTTTCCAAAATAAAAAGGGTTTTTCACCCAAAATAGAATACTCTGTCGTGGTAACATGTAGTGAAAATATTAAATAAAACTACTCTCAGTAACGATAACAGACTCTTCTCCAAAACAAATATATACACAAACACATGGGGCACCTGGGTGGCTCAGTTGGTTAAATGTCTGACTCTTGGTTTCAGCTCAGGTCATGATCTCACAGTTTGTGGGTTCGAGCCCCGCATTAGGCTCTGCACTGACACCATGGAGCCCGCTTGGGATTCTCTCTCTCTCTCTCTCTCTCTCTCTCTGCCCTTCCTTTGCTTGCTTGTGTGCTCTCTCAAAATAAATAAATAAACTTAAAAAAACTTATTAAAAAAACAAACAAAAAAACCAAACACAGATATTTACCTTCACACATATATTTTTATCATTATTATTATTTTTGGAGAAATCTTTTTTAAAAATATTTATTTATTTATATTTGAGAGAGAGTGCATGCAGGGGAGTGGCAGAGAAGGAGAGAGAATCTCAAGCAGGCTCCGTGCCATCAGCACAGGGCCTGACGCAAGACTCAAACTCACAAACTGTGAGATCATGACCTGAGCAAAAATCAATTGTTGGATACTTAACCAACTGAGCCACCCAGATGCCCTTTCGTTATTATTATTACTAATACTATTAAAACAAATGGTACCTTGGCACAGATGTGCTGGAGTAAGATACGAAGGACTGGGAATATATTCTCCTTTAGTTCATCCACAAGTGAGCTATTAAAAAATAAATAAATAAAAACCACATTGTTTACAATACACCTATGACTACATAAAATAGCAATTTTTCTTGACTCTGTTCTCAAATACCATGACCCCTATATCTTAGAAAGCCTGAATACTGAAAATATTTACCCTGTATTGCAAACAGTGCCTCAGTGAATAAAGAATACAGAGTGTCACAGCAGAAAACCATTCACCACGTCCCATGTATTGTTTTAGAGAGCTGGTGCCAAGCAGACAACTACAGTCAGAGAGCAGCAAATTTGTAATTTTTGAATGACTCTTTTGACTATTTATTGAATTTCACATTAATACTGAAATACAGTATATCCTTTCAGGGTAAATAATAGATTAAGACACAGCACCACCGTGTGGTAGTTCGGTGAAATGCTACATTTCATTGGATTTGTAACAGTACCTGCCAAACTTTAACCCAAGATTACATAATGCCCAGATGTGACCCATCTTTATGCTAAGTTTATCTGTACCACTGGATGTATACTACTGAACTTGGAGACATTATAAACTGTTAATGGAAGAACCAAAAGTATCTTATGTACTTAATGTTTAAAAAATCTGTAGTCAAAATAAAATAAAAATACACCTAGCAAGAGATAGTTGCACAATGATCACGTGACAGTCTATACTTGGATTCCACCAACCACACCCCGTATCTCCAACAACACTGCATTCCTTGAATACCGGCAGGCATATACACACTCTCATATACTTACCACTTCATTCCACTCCCTCCACATTGCATGCCAAATATTCAATGAAGGAGGGAAAGAAAAGCCAATGACATAGCAAATATGTTTTCCCCAATAAAGCTGAGACACAGAAGTTTTTAGGTGAAGCTAAGTGATTCATGAGAGAAAACTGCTCTATCAATTATTACTAGAGAAGTAAAAATCAACTTAATTCTTCCCTTTAGGAAGTACTGCCTGTAGGGGGAGGGGGGATGGAAAAGTGAGAAGAAACAAGAAAAAGTGCAAAGGAACAAAAAGAAAGAGACACAGAGAAGACAGAAATAGAAAAGGGAAAAACAAGACAGACCTGTAAGAGAGGCAAACACCGAGGCAATGATAAAACATAAAAGAAATAACTGTCATTGCTCAGTGCCTGGCCTTACAGGCTGGTGGGAATCAAGCTGGAGGCTGGTGCTAGCCCATGAATTAGATTCTGTATCCCTCAACAAAGCCCCAGTGCAAAGGCTACCAACAGTGACCTAGACCACATGAACCACAGGAGCTCTGAGGTACTTTACTTTGATCCCAAAACCACAACAGGACAGAAATCTGTTAGTTTCCATAGGTGTCAGTAACCTCGGTAATACAGGGCCCAGAAGACTTAAGGGAGAGTGATAAAGAGAGTAAAATGCCAAGCTGTGTGTGCTTCACCTGATGAACTGCACTGCCTGGTTTCTACTGTTGATCACTGGTGATGTAACAGTAAGGGGAGCACGATGGGCTCCTTCGCCTGCTTCTACCATTAATATCACATTTAGCATTTGATGGAAAACACAACCTATAACCTGGAAGAGAAGAAAATTCTATTTAAGGCATGATTGAGAATTCAAGAGCCTCAAAGATAGACATGCAGACCACAGTAAACCATTCCAAGAAGATAAGTCAAATTAACACAGCTTTTGGGTGACCACTGGAAATGTTTCTTGGACAATTACCAAGTATTCAATCAACACATGATGAAAACAGTATGAAAACACTGCTTATAGATAATGACAGGAATATCATTTAGTTTCTCTCCTCACCCTCTCAAACTGCAGCCCTGAAATTAGGGCAAATAGAGAATTAATTGTCACTTCTAAACGGCAAAAAAATGCTACTGATAATCTCTCACAGAATCTCTTACAGAAACAAGAATACTTTACACTTGAATTTTCCTGAAGTTTACACTGCACCTTCCAACATTTCTCATATAATTTACTCACCTAACCAATTCATTCATTCTGTAAATAAAACATGTACTGAAAACCAAATATGTGGCAGGCATTGTGTTAAGTTCATATGTATTACTAGATTTTACTATATTTGATCTTAAACCTCACAAAAACTGCAGGAGGTAAGCAAGGCATTCCTACTTCATATGTATTATTATTTCCACTTTACACCTAATAAAAGAGATTCCAAAGGTGAACTGCCCAAAGTCAAGTGATTAAAAGTCTGGCTGAACCCGACACTGTCTAACATCAAGTCAATACTTTCACAATTAAAAAAATCCTACATCTTTAGAGGCACTGTGGACCTAAAGGCATAAATTTCCCAATCCAGCTAATCTTTCCAATGTTATCAAGAGCATGGAAATTGAAAGCATTCATGTGAGTTCTAACACAGCCATACTTTAAACACAGAAATGATAACGGTATAATAAATTATAAAATATAGCACATTTTCTAAACAACAAGCATTATGCTCCGCATCTGAAGGGCATTCTTTCATTTACTCCTCCTGACACACCTAAGAAGATTGAGGCTTTGGAAAGGCTGAGTACCTCATACAAGAATACACAGCTAGACAGGGTGGAGCCAGAATTGAAACACAGGTGTACAAAACCTGGCCCGAGAGCCTCAAACCTTCTTATTAACCACCATGTAACTCGCCCTAGAAATTATGTGTAGCACAGCCACCAAAAGTCGTATGACTTCAGTCTATCACATTTTTGGCATGATCTTGTTTTATTAATGATATACAAGTGTATTAACACCATAATGCTAAAACATCCTTGACTCCAATGTTTAGATAGTGATACTGATAAGGCAGTTCAAGGGGCAAAATCCACATATGAATACTAACCAGGAATGATAACTAGTAATATTTCTGTAGAATTCTCAACTAAAATGATATAAACATTTTAGAAATACTGAAGTGCACATGAAACTTGCCAAGCATTGCCAAGGAAAACTTGAAAATTCCATGACTGTCTAGTCTTTTCAGAACAACCTGGTAACTATTTCTCTAAATACAACACCCTGTTCAGTGTTCTTCCTACCTAATCTACACTGGAACCATTTTTCATGTATGAAACCTAACAATAATTTGCCATGGCCTCCAAGTATTTGAATATCAGTTTGGTTATGAAGAATAGGCAGCAAATAGAAGTGGTGATGCTTTTTATGCTACACATGATACAGAGTCATGAAAATGACCTAGTTAAAATGGCATCACATCAAATGCTGCCAATGGTTTTCCATTATGATTCAGATTCTTTCAATTCAACTAGGAACTAAATTAAGTCCTTGTCTCCTTTACCTTATCTCCCTCTCCATGAATTGGGGAGCATAGCAAATACAATCCATGATAGGCCAGTTCTGGTATGTACTTTGCTTGGTTAAGGCTTCTAAAGAAAAAGACAGAAGATTAGTTAACGGATATGATTTTATTTGGAATATTCACTAACCCTATAATCAACCACATCCAAATGAATACACTGTATCTATGTGCCAATTAGGATAAAATACCATTTATACTTCTGTGAGATCAAAATTTATTACATTACATTTAAATTTCAGCATTGGAAGAATGAGAGCCTCACCTGGCCTGTGTAACATGAAATTCATGAAGAACTGGTTCAAAATTAGTTAATGCAACAAAGACCTAGAAAATAGAAGAAGAGGCCTGATTATTCCTATTCATTAAGTATTAGCCATCATCTCTGCCCTTCTGAGGTTGCCCCAAGGATTTTTGGAATTCTCACTTACTTCTATACAATTCTGTATACACTGTGGCTTTTCTTTCAGGGAAAACTTGGACAGAAGCCGTAAAAAATTCTTCAGTAGGTGAAAGATGGCATTTCGAATTTGACAAAGGTCTCGGGCAGAAAAGCAAATACTTTCCTCATCTTCCTGTTCTTCTAGTTCATCCACCTAGATCATAAAGCAATATATAGGTGACTGCATAGTAATGCCTAACACTTTGTCCAATGGTTTTCAATGTACTCAGATCAAGTCCGTTAAACTCCAGATGGTTGCTGAGCTTCTGAGGTTATGGGACCCTGATCAGGTCCCTTAACTGCTCTGTCTCCACAGCCAGAACAGTAAATCATTGGACTAGATGACTGTACAGTAGTTTTGAGCTCTGCATTTTTGTGTCAATGGGAATTCTTATGTTTCTTGAAAGTTTTCTCTACCTAGTCAGCACACAAGAATTTGGAATTAATGTTATTCCATTATGCTCTTATGGACATGAGTCCTCAGGATACTTCAACCATCCTCTCTGATGACAACAGATGATGTGCAAATATACATGTTCGGATGTTGTCAAGCATACCTGGGAACAAGGCTGGGGAGAGATTATGGGGAGGCTGGAAAGATGAAAAGGTAGAGATATATATTCTCAGCAGTAAATGAAGCCTGAGAAGCAACTTAAAGTCACACTGGAAACCTGATGATGCTTTAGGATCATTTGGTTATAATCACAATGCCTGAAACCATATTTTAATATAAAGTTAACTCTTATATCACAATCATGTGTTGGTACAGATACATTTTATTATTCTACTTACTTCTTACCTCAATATCTTCTTTCCTGGGTGGCTTTCCTCTTTTCCTATTTCCTCTTGGATTAGCCTCAGTGTTCTTAGGCTGTTCTTTCTTTCTTTTCCGATTCAAGTTAGATTCCTGAGGCCAACTCTTCTTTAGAATCTGAATACATTTGTCAAACATCACCTGGTGGAATACTTGATTGGCTACACTGCCTATTCATAAAGAATAAAAGTGGGTTAGATTTGTCTTTTTTTTTTTTAAGTTTACGTATTTGAGAAAGACAGAGACAGTGCAAGTGGGGGAAGGGCAGAGAGAGAGGGAGAGAGAGACAATCCCAAGCAAGTTCCACGCTGCCAGTGCAGAGCCTGACGCGGGCCCCAAACTCTTGAAACCACGCGCTCACGCATGAACTGAGCCAAAACCAAGAGCTGGATGCTTAACCGATTAAGTCACCCAGGTGTCCCAAAAATAAAAAGAATTTTTAAAAAAGGATGTCATTGGGGCGCCTGGGTGGCGCAGTCGGTTAAGCGGCCGACTTCAGCCAGGTCACGATCTCGCGGTCCGTGAGTTCGAGCCCCGCGTCGGGCTCTGGGCTGATGGCTCGGAGCCTGGAGCCTGTTTCCGATTCTGTGTCTCCCTCTTTCTCTGCCCCTCCCCCGTTCATGCTCTGTCTCTCTCTGTCCCAAAAATAAATTAAAAAAATGTTGAAAAAAAATTTAAAAAAAAAAAAAAAAAAAAAAAAAAAAAAAAAAAAAAAAAAAAAAAAAAAAAAAAGGATGTCATTAATGCATTGAATATATGTAGACACTAGTCTGTTTTATAATTTACTACCATGAAATACATACAAATCTATCATAAAAGTTAAAGTTTATCAAAACTTACACACACAACACTTACAGGCTGTATGTGGTGAAATGCATGGTTGAGAGAAATATAAACATAAAAATGCAGTGTTAAGTTATAATGGCATACAGCTACTGTGCTACTGTCATAATTTTATACCTCCCATTCATAGTGCAATGAGCTTGAATACTGTGGGTACCCACTTAACACCATTTGATGCTAATCATCTCAGTATAAGCAGATTGTCTCTACAGTAAACTGTGTATTGCAGGAAAAAGTGATCTCTCGCAGTTTTTGAGTATTTTTCACTGTGTTTAGTCCAGTGCTGCAAACTGTGAACAACACCATGGAGCCCATACGAAGTGCCACTAGTGAAGTGCTCACAAGAAACAAAGAGAATTCATGACATTACAAGGAGCAGCCTGACTTCGGATTCTGTCTCTCTCCTGCACTGACAGCACAGAGCCTGCTTCGGATTCTCTGTCTCTCTCCCTCTCCGCACCCCCCCTGCTTGTGCTCTCTTTCTCAAAATAAACATTAAAAAAAAAGAAAAGAAAGTGCAGCTCTATGTGGGTGCAGGATTGTTATTAGAAAGCTATACCTATATGATTCAAGAAAAAGCAAAGTCATTATATGACAACTTAAAGCAAAAGGAAGGTGAAGGATCTAAAGTAAGAGAATTTAATGTCAGGAAAGGATGGTTTGATAACTTTAGAAAGAGATTTGGCTTAAAAAAGTGTCATGATAACAGGAGAAACAGCTTCCACCAACCAAAAGGCAAGCAGACAAGTTCCCAGACACCTTTAAGAAAATCACTGAGGAGAAAGGACATCTGCCTGAACAAGTTTTTAATGCAGACAGAAGTGCCTGATTCTGGAGAAAAACATCACAAAGGACATTTATTAGTTGAGGGAGAGAAGCAAACACCAGGATTTAAGGTAGGAAGGGATAGGTTAGCTCTACTGTTTTGTGCAAATGCAGTCAGGTTTATCATCAAGACTGCACTTTTCTATATAGCTGCTAACCCTAGAGCCTTGAAGGGAAAAGATAAACACTAGTTGACAGTCCTTTGGTTTTAAAACAAGAAGGCCTAGATAATGAGAACCCATTTTTTGGATTGGTTCCATTGATGCTTTGTCCCTGAAGTCAGGAAGTACCCTGCCAATAAACGACTGCCTTTTAAAGTTCTTTTGATATTGGACAAAGCCCTTGGCCACCCAGAACCCCATGAGTTCAAGACAAAAGGCAGGGATCTACTTGCCCCCGGACACATCTCTAATACAATCTCTAGATAGGGAGTCATAAAGACTTTTAAGGTTCATTACACACAGTACTCCATGGAAAGGACTGTCAACCCTGTGGAAGACAATCCTGACAGAGGGCACACCATCGAAGTCTAGAAGGATTACACCACTGAAGGTGCCACTGTTGTTATGGAAGAAGCCATGAAAGCCATCCAGCTCCAAACAATAAATTCCTGCTGGAGAAAACTGTGTCCACATTTTGTGTATGACTTCACAGGACTTATGACAGAGCCAATCAAGGAAATCATGAAAGAGATTGTGGATATGGCA